GTACTCACAATGCGTACACGAAAAGTTAACGAACCGCGTAAAAGTGTTTCGCGTTCCGGAACTGTACACGAAAACATTATACGCAAACGAATAGCGCTTTTTCCAAACGGGAAATTTAAGACCCTCTTCTTGTTTAAAAAAAAAAAATAAATACACACTGTTCGAATATATTACTTATAGTAACGTATCGTTTTATATGAAAACTGTATTTAAGAGATCAATAAATTAACGTCGTCGAATCGATTTAAATTTTAGATCGAAAATCTTTCACGCTAATGATAATGCTTTTTATACATTCCATTTCGTAATGTCTCTAAAACATTTTATTGTAAATTTGTGCATTTGGTCAAAACTGTCTGTGACCCGGAGAAAAAAATAAAAATTGAATAGGAAATATCAGTATCCACCGCAGTTTTGCCAGCGTATAGCACCGCATTTATATAGCCTTTGTCGAAAAAGTTCAACGAAAACTTCCGAAATACTTTGGTGTGTCTCTGATGTAGCTGAGGTCCTTTTGTGCAGCCCGCAATCTCAAAAGTTTCCATTTCATTACGAATCTCTAAACTATCATTGACGGCACCGCGCAACTTTGTTCGTAAGATGTTTATAACCGAATTCCACAACAAGACTCCAATTAGAATGTCGCGCAATAATACGCATTTCCCTCAAAAGTAAAAACAATTTCGTGTAGAATATTCTATTTTTATGAAAAACCAAACTAAATATATTATGTGCAACTTTCTATATTACAAAACTTTAACGATATACAGAAAAAAGTACAAAAGCCGACATATTTCGCACCGCGGTTGGGCTACTGTTTTAGATGGGACGTTTGAGCATGTAGGATATATTACTGGTCACGTGGAAAAAGGGACATAAATCAATTTAATTTTTTTTATTTTTCACTACAAGCAAATTCAGTATTTGAAATGCATACACTTGTACAATTATATTATACTAATTCAATATTACAAGCACTTATCATCTGTACATACATTTAAGTATTTCATTTAGACCGAAAAATAAAGGGAAACAAATAACACAAGCTGAATTCTAAAAAAAAAGAAAAATTCAAAATTGATTTTGGCTCATTTTTGCAGTGACTCAACATATTATAGGGTAATTTAATTTATATGTGTAGTCAACAATCACGAACACTTGAGTAATGATAACCGAACACTGACGGCCGACACGGAAAAAGATGGGACCGAATGGGCCAATTACATCGAAGTGAGCTGCAGAGCAGTCCCAATATTATACGGCTAGCATAGGAGATTTGTAACTCGAAAAATCATAAACAATTACTTCCGAACATTGTTTAAAAAGCGATTTTTTTTTTTTTTTTTAAGGTTACAGTGTGATTTTGTTAATGTAGTAATGTAGTAGGTTTTTTTTTATGAGAATTTTAAGAATTACGACGTTTCAAAACATGGTTTACCCGACATTTGTTCAGAATCGTATTTCGTTAACAATCTTCACGTGGAGATATTTTTAATAAAATAATTTTTAACGGGCACAAAACACATTTTAACGCGAAACTCTTTGCCCGAGAACGGTTTAAAGTTTTTAGAAACTGTGTAGCGCATGCTCACGTCCACACGTCACATAATTTTAGATTGCGATGTATTAAATATACCTACACATAATTCTGATCATTCTGTAGACACATACGTATATATATATATAGGTACTTTAATACCCCGTTGTTAAAAATATCGTCGTACTTAGTGAAATGGCTTCTTTAGAAAACACAAAAACGAAATTTATTCACAGTTTTGCAGCGGGTACGACGCGACGCATAGAATTACGACATTAAAATTAAATATTAACGCGTTCGTGTGTTATATAGTACCCGCGTATACCGTATACCTACACAAAAGTGCCGAGTTTGAGGAACTGTGATCTTTATTCATAATACTTTACGGACAATACAAATTGTTAATAAAAGATAATACGCGCTATAAATTTGTTGCCTACCCGTTTTCGTATAAACAACGGGAATGCATTTTTAAAAAGGTCATTGAATATCCACCATAAATAATAACGTAACGAGCGATACACATAATAATACACACAGTGCATATTATAATATGCATGGGGATGCCAGGCGTGCGCCGTATGATACGGGAATGTCCTTTTTCTATTTTCGTCCAGACAACTCTCTTCGGGATACCGAAATTTTCCGTATTGTAAAAAAATGCGTCACGTATGTAATGTTATCGCATCCCAAGGTTTCTCTTTATTTTTTTGGATACATAAAACGATACGTTTTATCGTTCGTTTTTTCTATTTCCGTGTGCGGATAAAGTAAAATTCCGCAGCGATAATACGCTTCGACGCTCGACGCTCCGTATGAATGTACACCGCACACGGTTATACCGTCACTCAAAATTAGAATTTTCCATCCGTCGCCACGATGTATTGATTGAAATATGGTATTATTATATACACATTGTATGCTATACACTGTTATGTCAATTATTCCTATACGCCGTCGACAAATTATATTTCAATGTGTACATCAAAAGGAGGTTTAATATTAAAATGCTGGCAAAGGATAACGGTGACGGGTGCAGCCGCTATTGTTGGTAGGGAGTTGAGAAGGTAGGATAGAAACGGGAAATTAATGTAAATCTGTACAGGCGTCGATTAACCATTGTCAACGAAAAAAACGATTCTGAGCGGAGTTCGGTTGATTGGATTGCTCTGTCGACAATACATATTTCATAATATGGTAAAATTATTTTTTATGCGTTAAAAACGTTTTCTTTAATGATATATTTTGTTTGATATTGTACCTAATTTCTCGTTTTTCCTACGTTTCTTCCCGGTTTTTCCCGTTTATTGGTAATACTCCTAGGAAAATCAAAATACATCCTCCCTAAGTTGATTTTCTTTTAGAAAAAGTGCTGCCACTATTGTAAATCGGGCCAAATTGTTGGTCGAAGAGTTGTTCACAGATAGAAAAAATAATAATAAACGTCATTGTAAAACCAATACATTCCGCGATCCGCTCAGAATCTAAAATGTACAAAAGCAAATTTCGTTTCACGAAAATCCATTCCGCAAAATGTAGACAAACGACAACCGATAATGTTAAATTTAACTATGTCCTCGCCGAAACAATGATATCGTCTCGTATAACTTGTATGACACTTTCATGAAAACGTTTTTTTTTAAGGTTTTAATAATGTGTACAATACGGATTTTTTTTTTTTGTTTATCTCGTGTTTTGAAGTTTGGGATTTGATTGTCCTAAACATTTAGTTTCCAGAAATAAGTACATATTATTCTAGTCATTTTGTGTGCATATTATTTGTGCGCGAAACGCTAAAAACCATTCTCGAAAAGAAAATATGTTTAAGTTTTTACACTTTTCTCGACAACACGAAAAAAACAGAAATTCGAATTTTGCAAAATACATTGTTCACCGCACGGTCGGAACATTGTACAAGAGAGTTTTATTACGCGGTTTTTGTTATTTTTAAATGTAAGTATTGTACATTTTGTGGGCGTTCTCGAACATTTTACGGGCTTACGGGTCTGAGCTTGTGTTATAACATTTTAAAATATTCACTCGTTTTAAATTCTGAGTGGCACGATGAATTTATTGGTTTTACAATGGTTTTTTTTTTTTTTTTTGTTTAATGGACAACTTTTCTACCGGAAATTTCGCTCCGGTTTAAAATGATAGCAGTTTTTCTAAAAGTAAATATGAACTGGGAGGTACTTTAAGAGGGTAATTTTTTTTTATTTTTTTCAAATAAATTGGAATAAACACGGGAAAACCGGGAAAAACGGAAAATAAGTAAAATTTTAAACAAATATTATTAAAGAAAATGTATAATGCATATGTAATTATTTTAATATGACATATACATCGTTGACAAAGCAACGCTATCAACCGATCTCCCTTCAGAATCGTTTTTTCGTTAGCAATGGTTAACCGTTGCTTACAGATACACATTCAATTACCTGCAACAGTGTCTGCACCCCTCTCCATTATCCTAGGACAGCATTTTTATTTTTTTATTACAACGCACGAGTGATCAATTTTGGCGCGTTTCTGTTTATGAGATGGTTGCAATTATCGCGGGTTTACGGCTAATAAACGTGTCGAATTATTTTTACTTTGAATACATTTTCTTTACATATTTTGCATGGACATTAAACCAAAACGTTTTAAAATCATTTGTTTCTAGTTTTTTTTTTTTTTTTTATTGTATTAATCTGTATCCTTCTGAAAACTGCGAATTCACTATACTTCACATGTTGTCAGTATTTTATCTTCCGGACAAAGTAATGATCAAATAAGATCAAACTCGCGAAGCAAAGTATTGTTTTATAGGCGGAATAATGTGATGAAATTCGTTTTTAATAACTCCTACTGACCTACCGAATGAAGCTAAAGGAATGAAATTTTGTATATTGTGCATTGCGTCAGTGACGTCGTTAATGTGCCTTTTGGGAGTTTCGACACCCAAAATCTCCACCTCTAGGTGCCATTATTTTATTCTGATTTGATCATTTTCGTATTGTATTATTGTTATGTATAATATTTATAAGTATATCCTTTTCCCGGTACATTTTGACACTTTAGCAACTCTCTCAAAACCAAAAGAGTTCCAACTGGTGGATTAGAGGTTTTATTTAGAGACAGATTAAAGGTAATAACTTTTTGCATGAAATTTAATATGAAATTCACCGTGTTGTTGCTAGAGAAGGGTGTTTTTTTTTTTAGATTTTTACACACCTACGGGTCTCTCAAATGAAGTAAAAAAGATGAAATTTTATATATACGTGGTGTAAGTGCCCTTGGTGATTTCGACTTTCATCCGCCTCTCCAACCATTTATATGTTCAGATTTCACGGGAAACATAGCGGGTTTTGAATTTAACATCCTTACTGATTTCTAAAAGTATAAGCAACTTGGTTAAAATGCATCTACATAAATATAATTGTTGTTATCGAGGATGTGCCTTTTTAGACGGTTCGAACTTCTAACCCCCGACCTCGCCGCATGTTTGTGCGTCGGCAGAGAACCAATTTGCCTGTTTTGAGAAAACTTTTTTTTTTTAGTTCAATTGAAAAAAACAAAATAGAAAAAAGAAAACACGATTTATTGTTACGGCAACAATTGTTACGGAGGAAAATTCGACGCTGGCGACGGCGTTCTGCGGCTGCTCGTCCGTTTTTATTTTTATTTTTCTAGTACAACAGACGGATTTTATTGTAAACACAAAGTCGATATTTTCGCACGCGTACACAACAGAACCGTACCGTCTCACGCTGTACGGATTATGATCCAGCGGCGTCGCTGCAAAAATGCAAAAAAACAATAACGACCGTCCCTCCGTCCACCGCGTAATTGAATATTTTCCATTCGGTAATCGACACACGTTTCACGTCTCTGGGCGGCGGCTGCGGCGCGACCCGCGAAATCCTAATCGACGTCCCCCCCCCCGAACCGTAGCAATATAATTTCGCCGTGCCGTTTAAAACGAATTGATTTTAAGATCCGCCGCCGCCGCCGCCGCCGCCGTCATGGGCACACGCGAAACGCGTTCGTTGGTTCAATCGGCTGTGTACAACGGTCGACATTCGCGCGATTACCCGCGCCGAAATATTACGCATTCCGCCGAAAACGAAACGTGAATAAAAACGTATTATTATCATGGTAACATAATAAACGAGGTGCCACGCTGTTCAATCGGGAAACAATGCGCGGTTTAAAACGAGAAAATAATAATTAGATAATTACATTCATTATTTTTTTTTTTTTTTTTTTTTGGTAGATTTAATTAATAACGGTTTATTTTTTGTGCGCGAATCATGCTCGTGCGGTCACTGCGTGCAATATTATTATCGAGAGTAACGTTCAAAATCAGCCATTCGTTTATACGCACTTAAAATTAAGGCGATTGGATATTAACGATTTTTTTTTTTGTGGGGGGGGGGAGAGAGAAGATGAAAACGACTCGTTCTTCGGCAATCTGTTCGATCAGCGTAGTGAAACGATGAGAATCATAAAAACCTATTTAAATCCCGCACGAGAACGATCGAGCGAATTTTGAATTTTAATCGCCGCACTTTTGTTTTTTGTTCGTCGTTTAAAACTAAATTACGAACTTAACTATAAAAAGTGGTCAGATCAATTTCGTATTTTAGACTTCTTGCTGAATCCAAATCCGGTTTCGGAATTATCGTCGCTCCGCTATACGTCAATCGGTCTTCTCTTATTTTTGTGAATTGATTAAAATTGTTATGCCATCTGTGAATCGTTTAAATCTCGACCATACTGTCGTATGAAAATATTTGTCTTTGTTGATTTGGGGGGAAAAAAATCCGTATTGCTATCTTTGTGTTGTGCCGTGTACGGCAATGGATTGTATTAATGTGTTAATGTATTATCGTTGTTGTAGTCGGACGTCGCTGGCGGTCACTCGTGCATTTTTTCGTATTTCGCTCGTAATTGTGTGTGTCTACCAGAATAATAATAGTCGTTTTCAATCGTTTGTTTCTTCTCTGTCGATAATTTCCGTTACCTATGTGCCTACTTATCATGTCCCCTCGTCAACACTGACGCGCAGGCGATTCATACAATTCTTAAAGCCAAATAATAAACTCGTTCTACGGCAAACAGCCCGAGTGCGTTCGTTTTATACGTTTTTTATCGCATACCGCCAACCGCCACCGTTGTTTCAGTTGTCGTATCCTTTCCGTTCCGTTGTTGTTGTTGTTGTTGTTGCCGTGCCCGCTTGTTGTTGTCCGAACTCGAGACCGGTGCCAGGTACTGCAACGTAAGCTCCGCACCGTCCATTACGCGTTGGGTGTACTGGCCGCCCAGGTGCGTCCGGTTGTGTCGCCTCGCGGGATTGAACTCCAACCGAAAACGCCCCGTCAACGACCGGGTCGTGTTATTGTGTTAACATCGATTTTTGATATAAGTTAGGTCGGTTTAGGTTAATCGTAATATAACCTAAGGTACGTGGAGGATCGCGTAGGACCCTGTTGGTCGATACCCCCTCGTCCGTCTGTCCCCCGCTTCCGAAATCACCGTCGCCGTCTTTCTCTTCCCGCTACCGTACCTGCGTTCGTCGTGGGTGAATAATAATTCCCGTTATCGTACGTGAGCGCCTGCAAGTTGGGTTGCCTATTCCACTACCCCCGGTGAGAGAATCCGGTGTAAAAATTAATTACCAACTCAAGTCAAACACGGCGTCAAAAGCTGATCGGTCCTTTCTGACTCGATTCGATCTTTATCCAGACTAAGTACCGGGTTACTTTGGTTTTTCGTCGTTACAATGGCGAAACCGAATGTTTCCGGTATAAACGAACAACGTTCGCGATAGACGAATACCGTTCAGCATTTTGTATAAGCACGACAACAAAAACGGTTCGAGTACAAACGCGTCTGCTGTGTTTTCTTTATTTTTATGTTTTTTAAATAGGGATTTGGGAAATAGGGAAAATGGGATTTCAATTGTCGTTATTGTACTAAATTATAAACAGGTAACGACAGTTACTTAGCGTAATAACGATTCCGTCTGTCGAACCGTTTGCATTAATTTGACGAGAAAAGAAAAAAAAAGTTTTCCAAAGTCGTCGCGATCATAACGAACAAAATGATATTGTAACGTGTTTTTTTTTTTCATTATTAAAAATCGAAAACGATAAAATCACGTTTTTAAAAGGCGTTGTTTAGAGACGGTGGATATGAGCGGTCCCGAGTTTTTGAGCATAACGTATTTTTAGTATCCGTTCGGTCGTTACACTCGTTAAGAACGCGAGCCTTAAGACCGCGTGATGAAGTCATTTTATGGTATTTAATTAAGATTCGTCATTATTACCGCGGGACCATTAAACCGAGAGATAATTATAACAGATATACGAGTGTGTGCGTGCGTGAAACTAAAAGAAAGAAAAAATCACCGAATCTGATAAGTCGAACGGTATTTAAACCGCCCGAGTCCGGTCGTAAGATAATATAATTCATGATGTTGTGGCGGCCGTTAAAAACAGTGTAACGACGGACCCCGATCCCGTGACATTCGAAACCCCCTCACCACCTCTCCAAAACGCCGCGTCGAGAGTCACGTTTAGAAGTAGAAAAGTCGATAATCGTTGGCGTTAAACCACCCGTACTAGTAATAAATTAAAATTTTAACAGTCGGTGCTTTTGTTTTTTTCTTGACGTTACGTTTCTTATCCGCCCTGGAAAACGGTTGTGCGCAACGGGTGATAAAATTTCTCTAATGAAATTTCAACCGGAGGTCAATATTCACAATCGGAGACGTGTTTTTTTAAACGTCAAGATTATATTTTTAAAAAAAATAGTGTTTTTTTTTTTATTATTTTTTTTTATTAAAGTTATTAAAATTGTCCTTTCGCGATTATAGATTTCGCATCTATCATTGACACGAAAACGTTCGGGCACCAACGAACTTTATCAAAAATGTTGGTGCTGCCGATAGATACGCCACCGTTTTGGGAGGGGAGTTCGAAGGGAGGATTGATGGTGTAATCTAATTGATATCTGTGTGCAACGGTTGACCGTAGCTCAAAAGAATCGATTCTACAGTAACGATACAAAAATCATACGGAACATTTTTACAGTTTTTATATTTTTTCCATTTATCAACAAAACTACAAAAGACCTACCCCGAGCGCCGAAATTCCTACAAGAGAGTTTCTACGGTGTTTTCGATTGGGTTATGATTGTCTGTGGAAAAAATTGTTTATCAAAAATGCGTAACCGTAGTATGGTACCGATGCGTCCCACGTTTTACCCGGAATCCAAAAGTCCGGTAACCGAAGTGGACGGCAGTTAGAACGGGAACCGCGGTACAATCAATTAATGTATTATCTCATTCGGGTTTCAGTTTATCGATGCGCGAATAACGCCTAGACGAATACTGATACAACAATTTGAATACTCTATAGATTACGAACGATACGATCGAAATTAAAATCAACGCGACTGCAATCACGTCCAACAAGAAGTATTGGTACCACGTCAAATTGAGCGCGTGCGATTTCAAATGCGGCGCCCCTTTGTGACGAATCGCGTACTCGGTCCAGTACACGACCGACTGTTGCGGTGACATCGGACGATCTTTGAATATACTCGAAGCGATCTCGGCGTTTTTCTTGTACCTAAAACGTAACGCAACAGGCATATAAAAATATTATAGTAGCCAACTACAGTCGGGTTACTTTTCGTTGTTGACCAGCTCCACGACGTTCGTGAAAAACGCGTCTTTCGTTACGGACAATATTTCCATGGAGATCGCCATGCCAGCCTCGACCAAACCGTCGATGTTCCGGTACTGATCGCTAAACAACGGAAATCCTAAAACGGGAACGGCGGCGTCCACCGCTTCGTACACACCGGATATTCCGCCGTGACTGACGAACAGCTTGATTTTCGGGTGCACTTGAATTGATTAAAATAAACAAAAAAAAAAAACACATGTTTATCCGGTTTGGCCGTTGCTTGCGGTACAATAATAATCAACCCTTCCGAATTATCGTAATTTCGGACCTTACCGAGTACATCCCGTTGAGGGAACCATTTTCTGATCATCACGTTGTCGGGTTTGTTTTTCAATTCGCCTTCGTATTTCAACAAAACCCTCTGCGGCAGTTCGGCCAAAGCATCTAAAAAAGCCGTTTTAATATCGTCCGGCACACTGGACATCAAAACTGTCGAGCCGAAAGTGAACAAAACCGCTCCGTGCGCAGAGCCCTCGATAAATTCTAACACGTCCTGTAACCCGAAAATACGCCTAATAAAATCGTTACGATATGCTATCGTAATATTGTTTTTCTGATGTGATTACAAATACTAGAATGCGAATGTTTTATACTCCATAGTTTTTGATTACACTACGGTTTTAAACTTTCTTTTAAATAAATTGTCTACTGTGTTTATATTAATCATACGCATACAAGTGGTCCTTATTTTATAGACGAAGGAATACAAATTGTTTTGATCAAACCTCTCTCCCCTCCCATTTGCTTCGATCGATTTTGATGAAATTTGACGACGATAGCTGAACCCTTGCAAGTGACGCAAAAGGGTGGACAAATGACCGAAGATGCATAGTTTGGCCGTTTATCGAATTTAGATTTAAAATAACCGCACATCAAAAAATTACCTCCTCAATGCAACAATAAAGATCTCTTGTCATTTAACAGATGCGAAAATTAAAACACAAAATTAAAACCAATAAATTCCTCGTTTTGCTTAGAATCTAAAACGATAGTTGGAAAGATTTTCATAAATATTTAAATAGATTATACAAAAATATATTTTCGGACCTAGTAATTGTCGAAAACGAATAATTTCTTCTATCAAGTAATGTTGGATTATTCATATAAACTTAATTTAAAGTTCAAGAATGAACTGTACGTCCATAAATGTCCCCTGGATCCGTGCCTGACGGAATGGTCGTCTTATCAGTCTATCAGTTGCCTACGTGACTAAGCGTACATTTTCACGGTCGTTTACCTTCCGCTGTCAAGGTCTTATTTTTCGTATTTTAGAATTGTTATTTATTTGCGTAGTTTATTTTCTATTGCGCCATAATTATGAACGATAACATTGCCTCAGGAGTACCTGCGCGACCTACAAAATTATGGGATAAGTAACTCAAGTTGAATATTATGCTGATTGCATTAGTCATGCACACTAGTAACGTAGTTAGGGCAGGTTTTGAGTGTTGTGACCCACTCCTTATTGTTTTTTTTTTCTTAGTTATATACTTTTATAATATTATGTTGATTAATAAGTTTATAGACCCCTTCAGGGGATCTATTATGACCGTAGACTTCATATTAATAGTTAAGAAATAATTCAGACCGGATGTGAAAAGATAGAGGGCGCCTTTCGTTTACTGAGCGATTGTAAGATTATCGTATACTCGTATTCTGTTTCTAGAAAATATCGTATCAGTTCGCGACGCCCGCGATTATTTGATCATTCGCCACCCTTTACCTTTTTTAAATTTTGTTAATTTTTTTTTAAATATCAGTTGAAAATATTTATAATTTAAAGACCGTAAAAAAAAAGTGTGTTATAAAATTAATTACGTTGTTTCAATAAATCATTTCAAACGAAAAAACTATTCTCAAAAAAGTACTAAAACTATATTTCAGTAATTTTTAGTACCGCGGGATGAAAAATGTACAATAAACAATGTTCACTCCTCAACAGCGTAATCATTGATTTGTATAGTGCGCGATAAATCAAATTAACGTATAAAACTAGCACGCGTGTCAAGACGCGCCACATTACCGCGATATGTTTCTACGTAGCTCTCAACGCTGTAGTTATACGCATTTCTCGTCAATTAGTATAAGGTCTGTGATTCTGATCGTGTCACCGAAAAAAAAATCGAATCTGGGGTACATGCGATGTGAATACGTGTAATAAATGATGTCGGGGGATGGCCGGTGAAAAACAGAACAAATTCGCAATAACGGTTAACGGGGGGGGNGGGGGGGGGGGGGGAAAGTTTGGAAACCTCTCCGGCCGAACGGTAATAGCAGTGACGATGTATAATAATACTTTCGGTAATGTCTCGGGCGGTTTCAAGTGGATACCGCCCACGCTGACGGTATTCGGTGAAATCGGCCGCGACGGATGACTGACGAAATGGCCGTTGGTAAACACTATTGAGGGCGCGACGCGGGCGTACGCGTCGTGAGGCTTCGGGCCGGCGGCGCACGTCGCGGAATCGGCAATGGCGTTCGACGCTTCGATGTACAGCGACAGCAGAACGTTGGCGAACCGTTGCGCGAACGTTTTCGGGACGGCGTGGCGGGCGAGCAACGGAGAAACGGCCGCCGGGTTCGGCGCGTCGCCGACCATTGCGGATTCGGCGAAAAACGGCTTCGGCGTCGGCACCGTGTACACGACCGGGAGTTTCGTGCCGGCCGCCGCGTACGTCAAACAAGACGGCGGACCGGGTTCGATGACTATCGCGTCGAAACTGCCGTCCCGGTCGTCGGCCAACAGACCGGTCAGCCGGCGGTCGCCGTAAATGCGATCGCACTGAACCCGGAATTTTCTCATCCTCGCCGGGACCACCGTTAACCGGTTGTCGAACACCCGTTTCAGCTCCGTCAGGTCCATGCCTATTTGCACCGGGATCACGTCGGACGTGTCGACTTCCGTGTAGTTCTCTCGGTCGCCGTCCGGAAACGGCGTGAACACCGTGACGACGTGCCCGCCGTCCGTCAGCGCCCGGAGCACGGCGCTCATAAAGTTCCAGTGGCTCTTGGCCGCGAACGTTTCTATCGCCAATATTCTCGCCGTTTCCGCCGGCGTAACGCGCGCGACGGCCACCGCGAACACCGCCGCCATCCACAATCGTCCGTTTCCGACGGCCATAACTTTTCGCGACCTTTGTGTGTGTAACCACGCGCGAAAACACGTCCTGGCCGGCACTGCCGCGGAGCAAAACTTTACTGTTTCGCGTCGGTCGGCTGACGCTGATAAGAGCCGACGACGGCTGGCTGTTTATCGTAAACGACGGCAATAAAAAAAAAAAATACACAATCTGAACCGGCAGTAAGTACCCGCATATGAAATCATCGAATTGTCATTGGATCCGACTCGGGCGCTTATTCGAAATATAATTCAATATTATAAGTACTCGGCGCGTCGACACCCATACACGTTATTCGCACGTGACACGTTTTATAATTATCACACGCCAGAATTTTCTTTTGATCCCCTTTGAAACCGTTAAATATTATGAGGCACTCTGAGAAGTCGATTACACTTCCCTTCGATCAGTATAGTTTTAAACTTTCAAATCATAAACGGTTGCCAGTACCGATGATGGTTTTACTGCGCCCATCGAAATTCTCAAAACAATATTGTCTATTCGAATCCGTGTAGACCTGAGGTATAAGTATATATACATTGATCGAAAATATAAATAGTATCAAAATAATAAAACGATTCCATATTGATTACAAAAACAAAAAAAAAAAAACAGTTATCAAATTAACTTAAAATCCTCCGAGAATTCGTGATAATTAGATTACCTTAACTAATATAAAACGCTCGTGATGAAATTTCTGGAGATAAAACGGTAATGCGACGAGTCGGTAAAGTGGCAAAATGTCCTAGACGTAGATTTAGGTTTAGATTCGATTTAAATTTTCCACAAACCTAAGTAGTAATTTAAGTTTTAAACAACCTAAGAATTATATTAAATTCTGAGGTTTTACGATGTGAAAATTTTCGTTTTAGAGTCCGTCTGCCAAAAACGTTACGTCATTATCGAAAACGAAAGTTAGTACTGTGTGTTACGTTAAACTTGAATTTAAAAACGCGTCCTAAGAAAATAGGAACACGTGCAGCCACTGTTTTAGATAATTTAATGTATGCTTGTAAGCAACGATAAACCATTGATTACGAAAAAAACGATTCTGAGCAGAGTTCGGTAGTTTGATAGTAATGCTTTGTCCACAATATATATGTAATTTTATGATATAATAACTAAATAGGCTTTATATATTTTCTTTAATAATATTCATTTAATTGTGTACCGATTATCCAAGTTATCCTACGTTTTTTCAGGGTTTCTCATGATTATTCCCGGGTTTTCACATTTTCTGATAAAACTTTTGAGAAAATCAAAAATGATATCTCTACAGAACCTCACTAAGAAAATTTATTTTTAGAAATATTTCTATCATTAAGGTTGAAGCAAAATTGCTGGTTGAAAAATTGTTCACAGAAAAATAAATTGTAATATTTTATTCATATATTTCGTAAATTTTCCTTTTTTTTTTCGGTATTTCAAATTTAGTGAGAAAACTATTGGGAAAATCGAAAAAACCACTTAAATTTACCACTTCACATCAATTTTTTTCAGAAAAAGTGCCACACATCTGAGCAAGTCTTCTGGTAAAAACGTTGTATACAGATAAAAAAAAAAAAAAATTAAAAAATAAACGTCTCTGTAAAACCATAGGCTTCTTCGCTTCACTCAGAATCTGAAATCTATGTGTAGTAAAAGTATTTTAACTATTTATTTTTTTTGAAACTATGTTGGAATCATATTGAAAGTCGATGTATGTACTAAGCATCGGCTCTTTTTAGTGCTATAAAATCCGAGCAATGTTAATTGCAATAGTAATTATTAAGTAATTTGTCCGTGTTTGAAAGGAATCGATGGGTAAAAATAACACAATAATACAATAATAATGATAAAAAATAAACTATTATATAGTAATTGTTTACATAAAATCATCATCTCTTCCTATTGCTTATCAATTAATCGTTCTTCAACCTATCGGAACGGTTTACTTTAATAACGCGGTAATAACGCTTACACGTATACTGATACAACAATTTGAATACTCTATAAATTACGTACGTTACGATCGAAATTGAAAGTAACGCGACTGCAATCACGTCCAATAAGAAGTATTGGTACCACGTCAAATTGAGCGCGTGCGATTTCAAATGCGGCGCCCCTTTGTGACGAATCACGTACTCGGTCCAGTACACGACCGACTGTTGCGGTGACATCGGACGGTCTTTGAATATACTCGAAGCGATCTCGGCGTTTTTCTTGTACCTAAAACGAAACGTATCAAGGTACACATCGAAATTTAAATGGCGCAAACGACCGATTTACTTGTCGTTGTTGACGAGTTCCACGACGTTTTTTAAAAACGCATCCGCACTAACGGACAACAAATCCATAGAAATCGCCATGCCCGCTTCGACCAAGTCTCCCATATTCTTATATTGGTCGCTAAACAACGGAAATCCTAAAACGGGAACGGCGGCGTCCACCGCTTCGTACACTCCGGCTATCCCACCGTGACTGACGAATAGCTTGATTTTCGGATGCACTTGAATTGATGAAAAAAAAAAAACCGCATGTTTATCCGGTATGGCTATTGCCTATGGAACAATCAACCCATCCGAATTATCGTAATTTCGGACCTTACCGAGTATATCCCGTTGAGGAAACCATTTACTGGTCATCACGTTGTGGGGTTTATTTTTCAATTCGCCTTCGTATTTCAACAAAACCCTCTGCGGGAGTTGAGCCAATACTTCTAAAAACACAGTTTTAATGCGATCCGGTATTGAAGATATTGATACAGTTGAACCGAACGTAAACAGTATGACCCCGTGCGAAGATTCCTCTATAAATTCTAACACATCCTGCAAACGAAAATATGTACGTCCTAAAAAATTAACTTTAGGAAATCGGTGATGGTTTTCTAAATTTCTCCAATTTTGTAAAAATTTGATATTAAAAATATAATATTTTTTGCTTTAACGTTGTTGAGACTTTGCTGGAAATGTTTAAATCAGAATTTAATATGTTTGTATTGACATATTATAGTGACATTCTGGTCTAGTTGGTTTCAAAACGTTTTAACTTTGACTCAATAAGAGTATTCTGGAAACATATAAATTCGATATCCACGTTGGAACCTAGGAGTTTTCCATCCGGTTTGTCCCGATAATGCGTACTCAGTCCATACAATAATTGCAATACTTAAGTTTTCCGAATATAGACCCAACCGTTACTAACGACCGACCGATAATACATCTCGGACATCGCCAGATCGGAAAAATGTAATCATTTAAACAAATATTATTACGATTAAAGTACGCCGAGACCACATCGGGTGGACGACGATTCGCTGTTCACGCATTAAACGATACCAGTCGTTTATTACTCATCATCGCCATAACATTTCAAATAACATAAACCGAAAACAGATAATTTGTAATGTAGTTGGCAGGTAAATTAAACTTTTATTGGTTGCATTCGGTCATTACATTGTATTATATAGCCCCATGGCCAATTTTTTTTTTTTTTTTTTTTTTTTTTGCGGGGGGTGGAAGTGGAGAACTTACATTTTTATTTAAGTTACCATATTTTATTGAACGATAAAATACACCGAAATAACCAATAAACAAAAAAACGGGGCACGTCAACCGCACCAGCTCCTACACCTTCCCCTTGATACAGGTGTGCACTACTCAGAGGGGATAAAGTTCCCAAAAAGTCCACAATTTCGAGATGTCACGGTACCTGTATTATAATATTTTGAAATTTACTTAATAACTTACATAGTTATAATATCGACTTGTTAACAATTGGGTAGGTTGTAAAGTCCATAAGGCGTTAGGTTGATTAATGCTGGGACTCGAGTTCAATAACCGACTGTGGCAAGTCACGTGATACGGTTTATCGCATTTTTTAGTATTAGAAAAAAAAGTTAGAAAATTATAATTTTTAAAATATTTACAAAATAAAATTCCCGTTACATTACGAATATTTTTTTAAATATTATTTAGATGCAAAATATGGAAAGATAAAACATTTTATCAGTCATTTTACTATAAAAATAATATTTTATAAATTTGAATGAAATATTATAAAACTCTCGGGGCTTAACGGAAATGCATTCAAATCGTACTTTTTGGTAATGATAAAAAAAAATATTCCCAAAACTGAGCGAGACGAGCGATCTTCTATTTTGTCAATTTCCTATCCGGATAATAAATAAAAAAAAAAAAAAAAGTGTAAATATCGCCAAGGCACCGAATCGTTCGATGAGGGAAATTCGATTCTAGTCACGGAATTCTTCCGCTCGTGCGTATTGTTTCTTATTTTTTTAGATACACCGCTACGCGTGTAGAAACGGTTTAATAGATACAAACGATACTTTTGGTATTTTCTCCGGCGGTTTCAAATGGATGCCGCCCACGTTGACGATGCTCGGCGGAATCGGCCTGGCCGCGTCGCTAATGTAATGACCGTTGGTAAACACTATTGACGGGGGTGTGGCGACGTACGCGTTGTACGGTTTTCGCCGGTCGAGGAAGACCGGTGAATCGAACAGCGCGGCGGACACTTCGATGTAAAACGACAGCACGGCGTTGGAGAACCGTTGCGCGAACGTTTTCGGCACGGCGTGCGGGAAGAACATGGACGACACGGCCGCCGGGTTCGGCACGTCGCCGACCATCCCGGATTCCGCGAATAACTTCTTCGCATAAGGCACTGCGCTCAAGACGGGAAGTCTCGTTCCGGCCGTCAAGTACGTCAAACAGGACGGCGGGCCGTGTTCGATAACGACCGCGTCGAAATTGACGTCCAGGCCGTCGGCCAACAGACCGGTCACCCGGCGGTCGTCGTAAATACCGTCACAGAACGTTCGGTATGTTTTCATCCTTGTCGGAACCGTGTACAGCGGGTCGCCGTACAGCCGTTGCATTTCTGCCAGGTCCATGCCGACGATTTTCGACACTTTTGTCGAAGTGTCCACTTCCGTATAGTTTTCGCGGTTCCCGTCTGGAAACACCGTGAACACGGTAACGCTGTGTCCGCGGTCCGTCAGAGCCCGCAGCACGGCACTCATAAAGTTCCAGTGGCTCTTGCCTGGTATCGTCATCACCGCCAATATTCTCGCGTTTTCCGCCGGCATAACGTGCGTGACGGCCAACGCGAACACCGCCGCCACCGCCGTCCAGAAAGGTTTTTCGACATTTATGACCAACATTTTTCCGAGAACACTATTCTAAAACGGACCGTTCGTGTAACACGAACTTAACGTAACGCGAAGTGTAACTAACCCATTTCTATATCCGTCGACTTATTGACTATAGTTACCGCCATCAACTATAACGCGTCTGATAATTGGTAACGATTATACAGAGTGATCCGTTTACTATCCGATGTTTGTTTTGGTTCAATCATTGTGGACTTTTCAACGCCGATTGTGATTTTTTACTCTTACTCCTTTTCCTTTAAACGAAAAAACTCTTTTGGTTTTCAAATAAGAACTCCCGCTTGTAGATAAATATCTAAATATTCAAATGGAGCAGTGGCGAATTTGATGGGTACGAATTTTGTTGAAGTATTGTTCAAATGCTAAATGTAATAATAGTTGAATTCTTTTCTGTTTTATTTAGTTACTACACGCCTAACGTTGTTAATATTTACTGTTTGGGTTTACACGTTCAAATTATTTTTACCCTTATATTACATATATCTGCCACTTCATATTTTTCATTAATAGGAGAACACCTCCGCTGACATCAATAATATGCCAGGATCGCTGAACAGATTTAGCATTGCACAATATTCATAAATCAAATGCATAGCATTAATAGATTTGAAAATACTGAAAAGATAAATATTTATGTTGTTTTGTAAATAAAAATAACGTTGTTCTATAAAATATCTACAATTTTCATGAGGGAAACGACATCGCCTTATATTGCCCCTCTCTAAAGTGAAGCCTCAAATACGCCACTGGAATAAAGAATAGTTTTTCTACAAATATTGATACGCGTGTCACTAATATCGGATTTATTGTTTACGATAACTATAACCGAATAAATTGTTCACCGAAAGAATTGGGAAGGGGGACTCATCACTTAAAAATTGATTGTACGAAAATTGTTGTCCTCCTCTATTTCTATGGTCTAAATATTAAACTGTTATAACTCATAAACGATTGATTCGAAATTAAACGTGTACGTATAAAAAATATTCTATATTCGAATTCGAGCTTTTCGGAGAAAACCGCCGGTCATAAACAAATGGAGCGCTCTGTATGATATTAAAAACTAATCAATATAAAAAATTATTTTTTGACAAACGTGACGAGCACGTGTCGGTATTTTATCACGCTCTATAGTATAATATACAATGGGTAAAAAATGACTGAATAAATATGTATATATATTTTTGTTTGTTTTTGTAGTGGTTTTAAATCATTACTGATTATTGTACTTAAAGACATATCACTATAATCCTATGTTTGGATACGAACATTGCGTACGATATGTATCAAAGAAACCTAAAAAACCTGGTAGAAAAATTGTGCGCAGAAAAATAGTAGTCCGTATTTTAACCAATGTCATCTCTTATATTTTCCCGTTTTTNGAACCGTTGCGCGAACGTTTTCGGCACGGCGTGCGGGAAGAACATGGACGACACGGCCGCCGGGTTCGGCACGTCGCCGACCATCCCGGATTCCGCGAATAACTTCTTCGGAAACGACACCACGTTTATGACGGGAAGTCCCGTTCCGGCCGTCAAGTACGACAAACACGACGGCGGGCCGTGTTCGACAACGATCGCGTCGAAATGGCCGTCCGGGCCGTCGGCCAACAGACCGGTCACCCGGCGGTCGTTGTAAATACCGTCACAGAACGTTCGGTATGTTTTCATCCTCGTCGGTATCACCCACAACGGGTTGCCGTACAGCCGTAGCATTTCAATCAGGTCCATGCCGACGATTTTCGACACGATTGTCGAAGTGTCCACTTCCGTGTAGTTCTCTCGGTTCCCGTCCGGAAACGGCGTGAACACCGTGACGACGTGCCCGCCGTCTGTCAGCGCTCGTAGCACGGCGCTCATAAAGTTGCAGTGGCTCTTGGCCGGAATCGTCATCACCGCCAATATTCTCGCGTTTTCCGCCGGCATAACGTGCGTGACGGCCAACGCGAACACCGCCGCCACCGCCGTCCAGAAAGGTTTTTCGACATTGATGGCCGACATTTTTCCGAGAACACTATTCTGTAACGGACCGTCCGTGTCACACGAACTTAACCTTACGTAACGCGAAGTGTAACTGACCCATATCCATATCCGTCGACTTATTGACTATAGTTACGGCCATCAACTACAACGCGTCTGATAATTGGTAACGATTATACAGGGTGATCCGTTTACTATCCGATGTTTGTTTTGGTTCAATCATTGTGGACTTTTCAACGCCGATTATTAATTTTTTAATCCTGCTCCTTTTCCTTTGAACAAGGACACTGTTTTAATATTCAAATAGAAACTCCCGCTTGTGAACAAACGTAACGCGCCAAACAGTGTTAACTTCAACTATTTGGATTATTACTATCCTATTATTTGATATCGATTTATCACTTAAAAATTGATTGTACGAAAATGCTAGTCCTTCTCTATTTCGATGGTCTAAATATTAAACTGTTATAACTCATAAACGATTGATTCGAAATTAAACGTGTACGTATAAAAAATATTCTATATTCGTATTCGAGCTTTTCGGAGAAAACCGCCGGTCATGAACAAATGGAACACTCTGTATGATATTAAAAACTAATCAGTATAAAAAATTATCTTTTGGTAAACGTGACGAGCACGTGTCGGTTTTTTATCACGCTCTATAGTATAATATACAATGGGTAAAAAATGACTGAATAAATATGTATATATATATTTTTGTTTGTTTTCGTACTGGCTATTAATCATTACTGATTATTGTACTTAAAGACATATCACTATAATCCTATGTTTTGATATGAACATTGCGTACGATATGTATCAAAGAAACTTTAAAAAAAAAAGTCTTCCTAGGATAATAGGGACGGGCACAAGCACTGTTACAAATAACTCAATAAATACCTGTAAGCAACAATAAACCATTGTTTACGAAAAAACGATTCTGAGCGGAGTTCAGTTGTTAATGATGCGTTATCGACAATACGTATATGCCATTTTATAGTAAAATAATTAAATAGGCTTTGTATATTTTCTTTAATAATTTAAAAATGTATAATCGTTTTTCCCGGTTTTCCCTTGTTATATCTCGGTCTTTCCCATTATCTGAAGAAACCTCTGAGAAAATCGAAATATTACCTTTTCAAAGTATTTGGCTAGTGAGTTTTCTCTTTTAGAAACATTGCTATAGTTAAAAGTTGCCGCGAAATTGCTGGTAGAAAAATTGTGCGCAGAAAAATAGTAGTCCGTATTTTAACCAATGCCATCTCTTATATTTTCCCGTTTTTTTTTTTTTCGTTTTTTCAAATTTAATGAGAAAACTCCTTAGAAAATCGAATAATGATATTACCGTACCTCCCTACATCGATTTCTTTTCAGTAAAGTTGCTACACGTAAAAATCGGAGCAAGTCCTCTTAAAGAAACGTTGTCCACAGAAAAAAAATAAATAAACATCTTTGTAAATCCATAAAATTCTTCGTTCCACACAGGATCTAAAATTTATGTGTAGTGAAATTATTTTTACTATTTATTTTTTTGTATTTATATTTGATCCATATTGTAAGTCCATGTAAGTACTAAGTTTCGGCTCCTTCTACTGTTATAAAGTCCGAGCCGTGTTAAATATTATTGCTTTATCTTTTAAGTGATTTTCCGCAGCGTATTAAATGATTCCGTGTTTGAGAGATATCGACGAGAAAAACTCTAATAACAAACTATTATACAGAAATTATTTACATAAAATAATCATTATATCCTAGACGTAGATTGAGGTTTAGATTCGACTTTTTCACAAACCTAAGTAGTAATTTTAGTTTTAAACAACCTAATAATTATTCCAAACTCTGAAGTTTTACGATGTGAAAATTTTCGTTTTGGCGTCCGTCTGTCAAAAATGTTTAATCATTTTTTAATTTTTTATCTATTATGGTTAATGAAAGTAAAAGGAACGTTTAAAATTACGATTTGGCGAAATATTGAAAACGAAAGTAAGTACTGCGTGTTAAATTAAACTTGGATTGAAAGACGTCCTAAGATAATAGGGACAGGTGCAGCCACTATTACAGATAATTTAATATTCACTTGTAAGCGGCGGTAAACCATTGATTACCAAAAAAAACGATTCTCAACAAAGTTCGGTTGATAGTGATGCTTTGTCCACAATATATATTTCATTTTATTGTATAATAATTAAATAGGCTTTATATATTTTCTTTAATAATATTTGTTTAATTGTGTACCGATCATCCACGTAATCCTACGTTTTTTCAGGGTTTCCCATGACTCTTCCCGATTTTTCACATTTCTAATAAAACGTTTGAGAAAATCAAAAATGACTTTTCTACAGTACCTTGCTAAGAAAATTTCTTTTTAGAAATATTTCTATCATTAAGGTTGAAGCAAAATTTCTGGTTGAAAAATTGTTCACAGAAAAATAAATTGTAATATTTTATTCATATATTTCGTAAATTTTCCCGTTTNATCTGACCAAGTGTTTCTGGTAAAAAAGTTGTATACAGATAAAAAAAAAATTTAAAAAAAAAACTTTTTTGTAAAACCATATAGCATCTTCACTCCATTCAAAATCTGAAATCTATGTCTAGTAAAATTATATTAACCATCTATTTTTTTTGAAACTATATTGAAATTATATTGGAAGTCGATGTAAGTACTAAGCTTCGGCTCTTTTTAGTACTATAAAATCCGAACTATGTTAATTGCAATGGTAATTATTAATGATAATTACTATTACTTTTTCTTTTAAGTGATTTGTCCGTGTTTGAAAGGAATCGATGGGAAAAATAACACAATAATACAATAATAATGATAAAAAATAAACTATTATATAGTAATTGTTTACATAAAATCATCGTTGCTTCCTATGGCTTATCGGTTAGTAATTTTTAACCTACCTGAACGGTTTACTTTAACAACGCAGTAATAACGCTTACACGTATACTGATACAAAAATTTGAATACTCTATAAATTACGTACGTTACGATCGAAATTGAAAGTAACGCGACTGCAATCACGTCCAACAAGAAGTATTGGTACCACGTCAAATTGAGCGCGTGCGATTTCAAATGCGGCGCCCCTTTGTGACGAATCGCGTACTCGGTCCAGTACACGACCGACTGTTGCGGTGACATCGGACGGTCTTTGAATATACTCGAAGCGATCTCGGCGTTTTTCTTGTACCTAAAACGAAACGTATCATGGTACACATCGAAGTTTAAATGGCGCAAACGACCGATTTACTTGTTGTTGTTGACGAGTTCCACGACGTTTATTAAAAACGCATCCTCACTAACGGACGACAATTCCATAGAAATCGCCATGCCCGCTTCGACCAAGTTTTCTATATTCTTATGCTGGTCACTAAACAACGGAAATCCTAAAACGGGAACGGCGGCATCCACCGCTTCGTACACTCCGGATATCCCACCGTGACTGACGAATAGCTTGATTTTCGGATGCACTTGAATTGATGAAAATAAAAAACCGCATGTTTATCCGGTTTGGCTATTGCCTACGTGAACAATCAACCTATCCGAATTATTGTAATTTTGAACCTCACCAAGTATATCCCGTTGAGGAAACCATTTTCTGATCATCACGTTGTCGGGTTTATTTTTCAATTTGCCTTCGTATTTCAACAAAACCCTCTGCGGGAGTTGAGCCAGTGCTTGTATAAATAATGTTTTAATACGATCTGGCATAGATGACATTAAAACAGTTGAACCGAACGTAAACAAAATGGCCCCGCGCCCAGATCCCTCTATGAATTCCAGCATATCCTGCAAACGAAAATATGTACGTCCGATAAAAACAACATTAAAAAATCAATGATGTTTTTCTAAATTTCACCATTGTTGTGAAATTTGATGTTTATATTGTTTACATTTCAGCAACCACTGTAACGACAATAATTTTCATCTATTCTACTTTCCGTTATCTATGGGGTATCCAAGGGGTAGAAACGTTCTTACGATTTGTCAAAATTTCAATAAAATTTATTTACGAATTCTCGAAAAAAATAATGAAATTTCCAAAATATCTTGGAACTTAAATAAATCTTAATCCCGAACCAACATTGGAATTTGCCGAATTCCTGCAGTATTTGTATGGCTTTTTGTTGGAATCGTCTGAAAAATTCACCGTCATGAATCTCTGTAATGGTGTTACGTGTTGACTTCGTGTACAGCTTTAAATTCTACGGAATTAATTTCTATATAAGAAACCTAACCTTTAACTGAACTCCTGTCACAATGTTGTTTTGTTTGCAACTATTAATCGTTTCACAAAGCAAATCAATTTCTAAGTTCAGAAATGGCACGTGTCCAATTTTTAAGATTCTGAGAAAACAAATATAATCTGATTAAAAATTTCATATCTATAGCTAATATGGATTTACAGAGTGATGAATCTATCGTAAAACACTCATTATTACGACTGTTTCCAATTCGTTCTAAATTTGTTTTATAGAAAATTTAAGACATATTAAACCGTGCTACCACAACAATTTTTGTTCTACTACTCTCCCACGACCCTAATTCAAAAGTGGAATATCCCGTCAATGGATTGACGGGGAAAGGTTAAATCTTCCCGAGATAACGAATGACTTACGATAGATTGATTACTTCGTAGGTATCGTCTATATTCTGCAAGTTTCTCAGTCATCATATGCACTATTATAAAACTCTAGATGTCCATGAAATGCATTAAGAGTCGTGCATTTTAGTAAAAAAAAAATAATAATAATAAATAATTTACTGCGACGAAATCTTTATCATATCAATTCCTCATAAGGACATTAAATAGAAAACAAAGTTTAAATATCGCCAAGGCACCGAATCGTTCGATGAGGGAAATTCGACTCTAGTCACGGAATTCTTCCGCTCGTGCGTATTGTTTCTTATTTTTTTAGATACACCGCTACGCGTGTAGAAACGGTTTAATAGATACAAACGATACTTTTGGTATTTTCTCCGGCGGTTTCAAATGGATGCCGCCCACGTTGACGATGCTCGGCGGAATCGGCCTGGCCGCGTCGCTAATGTAATGACCGTTGGTAAACACTATTGACGGGGGTGTAGCGACGTACGCGTTGTACGGTTTTCGCCGGTCGAGAAAGACCGGTGAATCGAACAGCGCGGCGGACACTTCGATGTAAAACGACAGCACGGCGTTGGAGAACCGTTGCGCGAACGTTTTCGGCACGGCGTGCGGGAAGAACATGGACGACACGGCCGCCGGGTTCGGCACGTCGCCGACCATCCCGGATTCCGCGAATAACTTCTTCGCATAAGGCACTGCGCTCAAGACGGGAAGTCTCGTTCCGGCCGTCAAGTACGTCAAACAGGACGGCGGGCCGTGTTCGATAACGACCGCGTCGAAATTGACGTCCAGGCCGTCGGCCAACAGACCGGTCACCCGGCGGTCGTCGTAAATACCGTCACAGAACGTTCGGTATGTTTTCATCCTTGTCGGAACCGTGTACAGCGGGTCGCCGTACAGCCGTTGCATTTCTGCCAGGTCCATGCCGACGATTTTCGACACTTTTGTCGAAGTGTCCACTTCCGTATAGTTTTCGCGGTTCCCGTCTGGAAACACCGTGAACACGGTAACGCTGTGTCCGCGGTCCGTCAGAGCCCGCAGCACGGCACTCATAAAGTTCCAGTGGCTCTTGCCTGGTATCGTCATCACCGCCAATATTCTCGCGTTTTCCGCCGGCATAACGTGCGTGACGGCCAACGCGAACACCGCCGCCACCGCCGTCCAGAAAGGTTTTTCGACATTTATGACCAACATTTTTCCGAGAACACTATTCTAAAACGGACCGTTCGTGTAACACGAACTTAACGTAACGCGAAGTGTAACTAACCCATTTCTATATCCGTCGACTTATTGACTATAGTTACCGCCATCAACTATAACGCGTCTGATAATTGGTAACGATTATACAGAGTGATCCGTTTACTATCCGATGTTTGTTTTGGTTCAATCATTGTGGACTTTTCAACNCTTTTCCTTTAAACGAAAAAACTCTTTTGGTTTTCAAATAAGAACTCCCGCTTGTAGATAAATATCTAAATATTCAAATGGAGCAGTGGCGAATTTGATGGGTACGAATTTTGTTGAAGTATTGTTCAAATGCTAAATGTAATAATAGTTGAATTCTTTTCTGTTTTATTTAGTTACTACACGCCTAACGTTGTTAATATTTACTGTTTGGGTTTACACGTTCAAATTATTTTTACCCTTATATTACATATATCTGCCACTTCATATTTTTCATTAATAGGAGAACACCTCCGCTGACATCAATAATATGCCAGGATCGCTGAACAGATTTAGCATTGCACAATATTCATAAATCAAATGCATATCATTAATAGATTTGAAAATACTGAAAAGATAAATATTTATGTTGTTTTGTAAATAAAAATAACGTTGTTCTATAAAATATCTACAATTTTCATGAGGGAAACGACATCGCCTTATATTGCCCCTCTCTAAAGTGAAGCCTCAAATACGCCACTGGAATAAAGAATAGTTTTTCTACAAATATTGATACGCGTGTCACTAATATCGGATTTATTGTTTACGATAACTATAACCGAATAAATTGTTCACCGAAAGAATTGGGAAGGGGGACTCATCACTTAAAAATTGATTGTACGAAAATTGTTGTCCTCCTCTATTTCTATGGTCTAAATATTAAACTGTTATAACTCATAAACGATTGATTCGAAATTAAACGTGTACGTATAAAAAATATTCTATATTCGAATTCGAGCTTTTCGGAGAAAACCGCCGGTCATAAACAAATGGAGCGCTCTGTATGATATTAAAAACTAATCAATATAAAAAATTATTTTTTGACAAACGTGACGAGCACGTGTCGGTATTTTATCACGCTCTATAGTATAATATACAATGGGTAAAAAATGACTGAATAAATATGTATATATATTTTTGTTTGTTTTTGTAGTGGTTTTAAATCATTACTGATTATTGTACTTAAAGACATATCACTATAATCCTATGTTTGGATACGAACATTGCGTACGATATGTATCAAAGAAACCTAAAAAACCTGGTAGAAAAATTGTGCGCAGAAAAATAGTAGTCCGTATTTTAACCAATGTCATCTCTTATATTTTCCCGTTTTTTTTTTTTCGTTTTTTCAAATTTAATGAGAATACTCCTTAGAAAATCGAATAATGATATTACCGTACCTCCCTACATCTCAGTACATGTCAGTAAAGTTGCTTCACGTAAAATACGGAGCAAGTCCTCTAAAAGAAACGTTGTACACAGAAAAAAAATAAATAAACATGTTTGTAAATCCATACAATTCTTCGTTCCACTCAGAATCTAGAATAATATGGTCATTAAAATGCTAAATTACAGGTAATACAAAACAGGGCACTAACCGTTTGATTCGCTTTTGCGTCTGCCAATTAAACGGCTTGATCTGACCGTTAAACCGTTATCTTATAGTCTTAGTAATATGCCAATATTATTTACCATCCGATAAGCTAACCGCTTATAATTGACCATCCGAATTATCAATGCGCTTTCCAATTTTATTTGAACAACACGTAGTACGTGATGCGTTTCTTTTGAATATTATAACGTTCGAACCGTTCGGTCCGGCCCGTGAAATATCGAATATCGACGTGCATATTCGAGTTAAATGTGCATTTATCTACTCTCACTACCGGAGATATGTCGGCTCGACTATTTATTATTTTCCGATTGACTCTCGTCCCGATTTGATTGTTACCGGCGTTTTAAAGTCCCCGAGACAAGTCTTCTTCTCCGTTTGTTATTTCGCAACAGAGCCAAACCGTCTCCGCGAGATGCGAGGCTGGCCATTTCCTCTACATCGTGGAAAGAACCATTTGCCATTCACATGCCTGTAGATAAACCGATATTCTGATATCAAATCAAAGAATTTATAATTATAAATTACAATATTATTATGTATTATTAAATAAAGCATCGAATAGCGGTGCAAGCGCAATTCTTAACTATAGGTTAGGTTAGGTGCGGTTTAATATTTATTTAGTCGTGGGTGTAAGACTAGCACGATTATTCATTGTATTATGTTAAATAGCTCGATATAGTCAATTTCATTGTATTCGTGTCGTAGCCTCTTGGTTGTATGTTTCTGATATTGACACGGGAATTGCAAGTTTAAACTAGAGTTCTATACATTTTTTTTGCAAAATTACGTCGGATAGGTAACAGGAAAAAAACGAATGAATTTTGTTTCAAAAAATAAAATTGAGTGTAATGAAGTATTTTTATTTTTTTAAAAAAAAGTTTTAAATTCCAATTTTAAAAAAATCTTCAACATTATGGCCTTTTAAAACATGCATAACAGAAATTTCCACCGGATCATTTTTCGTTATCAATGGTTTTATAGTTGGTTACAGGTATAAATTAAATAACTTTTTGTATCGCATCCTTCCCACTACCCTCTTACAACAGTGGTCGCACCCACCAGTATCGTTTAACCAGTATTATCTCTTTTTTTTAAAAAAAATGACTTAAATTATTTATTGAAGTTAAGTAAAGTTAATGATATATTTTCACTTATTTTTTTAAATTTAATTGGGAAAAAAATATTTAACTGAGTTAAAATATAACATTAAATTTTCCAGTCTTGGCGGGATGTAATAATAATTAAAAGTCTGTAACAATAATAGTCGATCTGCTGGCACATCAGACAACTTTTTGCCGATAGGCCGGTCGAATATTCGGCGAATTTGTTTAAACACCAAATTATAAACCAACGACGACGATGTAATTTAAAATTTACCCTTATTAAAAATCCAAAACGATACTCGGGCGTAAGCGTACAAATAGAAATATTGGAGCGGACGTACCCGCAACAACCCTAGACATTATTGCGGCTTTCTCGGTTAAAAAGCTTTTATCCAGTTGACAGGTCATTAACAAACGGTTATTATCCGATGAAAAAAAAAAAAAACAAAACCGTTTTCCGCAACGGTTTCTTCGCCCCGTATTTTTTTTTCCTCATTTAATATGAAAATTTCTATTGTCGTCGAAAACTCATCGGCGGCGGAACAAAACATTAAACGTGACATATATATATATTATATATGTATATTTTTTCATACGGTAGTTTTCAACGAGAACATAATAGCGTATTATGATGATGTGCATCACATAACTTTATATTATACAACATCCGAGTCGAAATATTATAATACTGCGGAAGCATTTTTTAAAGAAAAAATATTTTAAACGACCAATGAATATATTATACAAAAAAAAAAAAAAACACGTGATTTATAGTAAATGTCGAACTATTATTGAGTATAATGCTATAATATAAAAGGTTTGACTAAGAAGTCGACACACTGAGACCGGCTGGCGGATCCAGACATTTATGGCAAGGAGGAGGGGGAGGCGGGGTAACTAACTATCTAACTAACTAATTAACAGCAATGAAACTTGGTATATGTTTTACCACAATACAAGAAAAAAGCATATGGGTTTGGTGTAGGGAACAAATGTCAAGTTGCCCCCCTTAAAAGCCGCCACTTCGGGGTAAGTGAATAACCGGAATAAGTGGCTAATCGAATATAATACAACACAAGATGTTACGATGTAATTGTTCTGTTAAACTGTACGACATAGTGCTAAGGGGCTGGTAATAAGGAGCTCCATCAGGCGCTTTTTTGCGCTATCTAGGAGCTTTTCATATAAGCATATCAGAGACTGTAGTGGGTTATTTAAGGGCATGTGATAAACTATCAGAGCGTGCAGTAATACGTTAGGCTATTAGCTGGTTGTAATAAACCGTCAGTGAGGAGTGAGCACGTTTTTGAGAAAAATCAATGACGATAGAAAGTGATACGCTAAAACGGAGCCGCTGTGTAGCCAAATTAATGTATTTGTTTTTAATTTCATATATATTACAGTAATTCATGTTATTTATTTTATTAGTCATTGCGGTACGCATTACATGAACGTTTACGAAGGACCGGCTTCCAACAGTGTTCTGCTGACGACGATTTGCGACAATAGCAAAAAAGACCACACGTTCCCCGGTCCAAATGTACTCTTGGAATTCAGGTGAGACTTACAAGTATTAAACCGCCGCCGCCGTATGTTTTAATATTACATGGTACCGAGAGAAATTCCTGAGGATTTTATATTTTTAGATTATGTTTCAAATAATGTTATAGTTTTGAAATTTAAATCTTACAAATCGTTTCTAAAATATGTACTCCTGTCCGTTCAAAATTAAATACATAAATAAGTTTATAACCCTGCCCCCCTTAATCCAAGCTTGCTATTAATCCTTGTTATGGTGGTAACGCAGTATTTTTACTCATCAATAATTGCATCAACTCCATCCAACTGCTCGTCGACAATACTTCCACCCTACCACACATTTTCTGTGAACTGCGGATATAAGTAAGGGGTTATTAACTAGTTTCCGCGGGGAATGGAAATGCGTTTTGAAACTTACCGAATTTTCCGCGGTTGAAAACGCGTATAGCGATATTTTTCCCGATAGATATTTGAAGTTCTTTAATTCTTAAAAATAATTTAAGTCGCCATAAAAATATCCAGAAATCATAAAAAAAATTAAACTGGAAAACGACACCATAAAAAGAAGTTATACATTTTTATACAGACGATATTGTATATTATATGCAAGTTTTAATAAATAGATATATTTTTTTTAATTTTCTAGGGCCGGTGCGGCGATACCGCCGTACGACTACACGGGTTTCGTGGCCACAATCGAGTTCATTGACGACACAATCACGCCACCGGCCAGCACTGCAGCCGCGTTAGAAGTCACACCGTCGTATCCATCCATAGCCGTGCTGAGTAATTATATTTACATAATACTAATATTGAACTAAAAATACGAGTTTTTGTATTATAATATTACTTTTTTATCCGATCAAAAAATCTGTTCCTTTTCCAAGCATTGAAAAGGTGAAAATCATGTCCAAAATATTGGAAGAGATATCGGCGTAAAACGATTTAAAAAAATAAAAATACATTTCAGCGGATTATTCTCGATGTTTATACGAAAATTTGAACTTTATGTTCACGCGAACCTTCCCATTAATAGTTTAAAAGGGTACAGGGGATGAAGAATATAGCAGTCCATTTAAAAAAATAAAGGTACCATTTTTAAAACTCCGTTTAGTTCCGTTCGGTGAAAACAATTCAGTTGGACAATATTGTATGTGCCCTGATCAAAAATTAGTATAGTTTATGCATCTGTAGACATTTTTTGTCTGTGAAACTAAAATAACTTATTATCCTTATTTTCTTGATTATATGGAAGATTCACGGAAAGAACCAGTCATTGATATTTTTTATCATTTAGTGGAAAATTGGTTCTAATTTGAAACGTGATACATTTTTAAAATTTTTTTCACAAACTTAAGTGCAAATTAAATTAAAATTTGAAGTTTAAAATTAATAAAATAAAATGACGTGTGAAATCGGAATAACGATGTAAATCGTGAAAACTCGAAAATATAATCGGGAGAAAAACAAGATTTTCAAAAAATGTATACATTGCAAATAATACATAATATAGTCAGGTTAGACAAGGTTACTCTGTACTCCTTACTTTGTTTTCCCTCAATAATTGATTCGACTAGTTTTTTGCTTGTACTTATCCACTATATAATACACTCTGGACTGACCTGAATTTTGGTCTGTTTCCGCCGTTTATAGCATATACCTATAATACTTCATGACGTCGAAAATGTTGCCACTGAAATAGCCAAAAGTGAAACAATTATTCGACTTACCCTGTTCTTTTCCCGTTTCGCCCATTCGCGTACAAATTGTAATATATGTATTTTAGTAGTTGTTCTATGACGTTGACGTGTGTTGTCTTTTCGGTTTAGGAAACACGGAAAACGATAAAGTCTGCGACATGACCATCAAGTCGTCGGACGTCAAGTCGGGACATTTCGATTTACGGTCTGCGCAGAAAAACTGCACGATCCATTTCGTGGGCAGGCAACCGGAAATTGTGCAGATATCGTTGTTCAACTACGTGCTGAAGTGAGTATCGTTTTTAAATAATTATAACGTTATCTATTCTGCATTCTTGTCGTTAATAATGTTATTATTATTATTATTATTATTATTACTATAATTGGGTATTATTGTTTTTGTAGAATTTTTCTTAAAAATAGAAAGATTATTGCACTGTATAGCGTTTTGATACAGGGTAATCTTTTTATGTTTAAAAAATCACCCAAATTTGTATCGTTAAATTTTGCACAAACTGAAATTCTGATTTTTGGACTTTTAGTTGCGGACCTCTGCTGCTCGTTTTTTGAGTTTTTTTTTTTTTTTTTTAGTTGGCGGCGCGAAATCGTAACGTTTTGACCGGTCCCTCGGTTCCGAGCATACGAACTATACTACTATTGTCATCATTATTCATTAACAAATGTAACCTTAAAACTATATATATAATACGATAACAATTTGTAATTTATCCGCCTATATTATTATTATTATTGTGTAACATATTATTATATTTCGGGCGCGCAAAAACGCCGCGATCTAACAGAGAACAATAAATTTAACGGTGTACGGTTATACCTAAACGCGTAGTAATGAAATTCGAGATTTTCATTAATTCGCCCGTATTTTCGCACATACTCTATAGTCCATAATATTATTATTATTATTATTTATCGGTCGTTCCGGCCGCTCGTTTATCCGTGATACAATAATCGACATCAATAAATTCACACCAAACTGTATGACGACATCGCCGGTCGTCGTTTACACTAAACATTATTGCAATATTATTGAATAAACCATCGATTTTTAGCGTCGTTTACGAAATATTATATTTTTTTTTTCTGTGAAATTATTTTAACATCAATAGTAGGTAATTTAAAATCACCGTGACTACATTGCGCAGGCATTTTTATCCGAGATTATAATGTAGTACGGGATCCTAGGTAATAATGGCCACAGAAAAAAATGTCCCGGTAAAACGTCCATGTACCGAAATGGCCAGAGGAAAATATAATGACAGGAAAACGTGTCCAGAGGAAAATATAGTCCGTAGAAAATTGGACATTTATTAAAAAACATATGCTTAAGTAAATTCAATTTTTTCATCTGGTCATTATTGTATTTGATCATTATATTTTCTCTATCAATTTTGGCGTTTGGACATTTTTCCCATTGCCATTTCTGATTCGGTCATTCGATCAGGCACGTATACAGGGGGGGGTAACCTCCTACGCGAAAATAAATAATTGTGTAATTTATTTATAAATATTGATTATTGTAAATATTTTATGAACCCCCTCGCAAATTTTTTTTTGTGTACGTGCCTGATTCTGACATTTTTATATCGACTACCGTTATACGAGTATAAAAATGTTCTAGTCAAATTTCGTGTGTACGAACAATAATATTATTTTTATAGTATTATTATATTGTGTTTATAGAGCCAGTTCGTGTCAATCGTTTATTGAAATTTACGATGGACCAGACATCGCGAGATCAAAGGAAAAAATCAAACGGCTGTGCAGTCCTGTAGAGAAACATGCTCGGGATACAAATGGCAGGTGAGCTCGACGACGGCAACGACATTGATAATATAGTTAATCAAAGATTTTGATAAAAAATTGTAGTTTTTTATTTCATTATTTTTTTTTTTACCTCCATAAATGAGATCGTTTTGTGTCACCCGCAGGTTTCGGGAAAGACAAATGTTCGTTTCGTCGGGGACTCATATGACGCTCTTCGTCCGCAGATTAATGGCCAACGCGGAGGACGCGGAAACCGAATATTTGGACGGCGCATACAGCTTCTTTAATGGTTTGTCGAACAACTACGAAAATGCCAACGATATAATATCGACTATCATAAATCACTTCAATTATATTTGAGTACATTTTATTTCCGTTAGGTTTTTTCGTCCGGTCGTTATACTATAAGTAAAAATGTTGAGTTTTCAAATCATGACGACATGTTCATTTTTATTTCTCCACCTCAGACTCGAAAAGGGAAAACTTTTCTTAGCATTTGTATATATTTACGTTATAATATTCAATTTAGACCGAAATTCAATGGATTGAAATAGTCGACATAATTTAATAGAAGAATAATGGATAGATTATAAATATTTATTTTGAATTGAAAATTGCATGCAAAACTGTTAGCTCGATAATAGGTTTTTGACCCAAATCTATAGTCTATTGATTCATATTAAATGTAAGCGTCAAATTTCGAGAATGATTTAATTATTTAAATTTGTTTTTATTGTAATTACAATATCATTTTAAAGTTAATTTTGATCCCGGACGATTGAAAAATCATAAAATCACTGTAGACAATCAACCTAAGAAAAACATAAGATTATTATACATTAAATATGTGTAGGTTTCAGTAGTGGGAAACTACTGTGAACACAGATTCTACACTGTTATCTGTTAAATTATAAAAAAAAAAAAAAACCACTTGTGTATATTATATACGTAATAAACTAGGAGTTAATTTCAATTGTATAATATGATATTTTTATATTATAGTATTAGAAAAGGGTACGCTGCAACCCGATACGCTATGTGACGTCAACTACAACGGGCTAAGCAGTTCCTCCAGGGGTAAATTAAAACATCCGGGAACCGAACAAGTATTTTGGAACGTCGAAGGTCAAATGAGGTGTTCTCAAAATCTCATTCCGGCCGTAAACCAGAGCATAAGCATCAAAGTAAATATTTTAGCCCGCCTCAAATATTTCGGGAATAAATATTAAATACTCTAATATATTACTTATAGTTTTGTACTATGGTTGTGGAAAATTATTTTCGTTAATTTTCGTCTTGTATTTTTTTTATTAGGTTGGCGATACACTGGTGCCCTTTTTTTTTTTATTCTAAGCGGTGCAAGGATTGTAGTAGTTTTACTATAGTGTATGTCTGTGTGTTTTTTTTTTCTGTCTGTGAGCAATTCTTTTTACTAGAAATCATGCTTTAATCAAAAAAAGTTATAAAAAAAAAAACTATTTTTTTGTTGCATTTTAGATCTAGTATTTTTTCTGAATTTCTCACTAGCTAATGTATCAGAAGGTCATTTTTAAATTTGGAGTTATCTTAATAATTGAGGAAAATCAACATTAGAAATCGAACATTTGAAAAAACGAGGTAATAAAATGTTAACGTGGCATTAATAGTTTCATTATTCGATTTTCATTAATTCTATTAAAATAATCACATATTACTTATTTAAGCTTTTTATACACTTGGTTAAATTTTAGAACATTTTGCAATTTTGTGTAGGTTTTTTCTATAAACATTTAATATTTTCGAGTTCTGTTTTAGTTTTTATATGGTTTTATACGAATAAAATTGTTAAGCTAAATATGAATAATTTAAAAAATTATTATCTTAGTCTATTATAAAAAAACAAACAATTATCGCACGCATTATAAACTTAAAACACTAAAACAATAGTGTACATAAAACGTAAAATTTTAATTTAAAAAAAAAATTACATGCATGTTATCAACAAAATATGTAAATAGAAACCATTAAATTAATATTTGGAATAACAATAACTTTCGGTTTTAATATGATTACAATTAATTAATTTAAGTCATTTTTTTTTTTTTTGATGAAGTTGTATTTTTTTTTTTGTGAAAACCCTATTATAGTAAACTACATAACAATATTGTTTTACAGCATTTCAATTGTGATTTAAAAGTCTTGGTCTTAACCGTTGACATTTTCTAGTTTTTATTTTTTTTTTTTTTACGTTTTTATTTAGTTGTATGTTAGTAAAAATATTTGGCTGAAGAGAAATGTTTGACAATTTGACAACACAAAGTTTATAATAAGTTGTATTTAGTGGTCAAATCTTACAGTTGAGTGTAATGCAGTATTTTTTTTTAAGTTTTTAATGTTCGAATCTTGATGCAAATTTTACAAATTACGGCATTTCAAAATTTATACTCGTACAACTGAACCTAGGAATGATTTATCGTTGCGTACTGATATAAATTAAAGGACTTTACGTATCCAACCTTCCTAACATCCTAACAGTGACACAACCATTAGCACTATCAGCTCGTTTTTTTTCTTTAAGAAAATACGATCACTAATTCGTATAACAGCGATCGTTATGGTAACTAGTTGCGCCGGTTGGATTTAATCTTGAGGGCCGTTCATGTTTGATTTTATACATTTCCATTTCAGGTGATATCATTAAACAAATTGTCGTCTAACCTGTGTTACACCGAATGTGGAGATGGTGGATGTCGTTGCGTGAAAAACGCCACGTCGATTGTCGATCAGCTCTACGTCACCTCGGTCAAGGGTGACATCTTATCGTGTATCTGCGGTGATTTTCAAGTGAGTCTATCGGCCAATTGTTTTTTGGTTTTTTGGTTTTTTTTTTGTATTCGTATTAATTGATAATATATTATGTTCTCCTTGTACAACATCATATAGGCCGAGTGGTTACCTGTCACCGTAAAATCGTGGTCACCGATCAATTTGGTGTATTCGATATCCAAATACAGTTGGTCCAACAAAGGGTTCGAATACTCAGCCGAGTATTCGTTCAAAGACGACGTCGTGTGCGGATATCGGGTGATTAATCAACATACCGGCGTTCTTGAATCACCCGTAATGATCCGGGAGAGTCCTATGAATTTCTATTATCACCAGGATTGCACGTGGTTACTGGACTCCAACGTCGAACGGCACTTGACCATCGAAATAGGCAGTTCGCAAAGTCGTAAGTGTATAAAATAATATAGAGAGTAGGTCGAAAAATCATATACTCTCAATATTACCGATCTGTCTAGTTGTATACCTATACACCTATTAATGCGTTGAAAATCGAAATTTTATTATTTGTTTAAGAATATTGTAAAACAATATTATGGGAAGGATGTTAGTATTATTGGATGGTGATTTCCGGCCTATTCTACTGGTGATTCAAAGAAAGCACGCCTAGATGAAATTAAAGTCTCTCTAGTCACCAAGACTATCGACAAATATTAGTAAATTCAGTTTGATTGCAGATAAGAGTGTGTACTTTTAAAATAATTTAGATACAGATCGACATGCAAATACTCTGTTAAAAATAGGAGTTGAAACGGTTCTAAATATGGTTTGAATACGGTTAGAAATATATATCGAAGGCAGTGTTATTAACACAGAATTGTTGTAAATTGGTACAGAGTGGGACAGAATTATTTGCTACAGTTTACCCGGGTCTACAGAGCAATATAAATATAAATAGCAATATAAATAACAATCGGTGGTTATGTGAAAGAGCGATTCTTGCATTCAAAATAATATCAACGATATTACTGTAGACATTTTGAAAATTATTTAAGAAGAATTTACCGAATATTTGTCAGTAGACACAGAACAGAAAAATCCATATCATGTAAAACTCTAGTTTTAAATTTACGTTCCAGAAATACTTATGTAATATTTAGATGCCCCGATACCGAGATTATGTGATGTCATGAGGCTTTGCGTCGTACATATTGGAAAGAACGTAATTGGCGCCACTATTCTGATAGGGACAGGAAAGGGCCAAAACGTTATGATACCTCGGAGCTTAATAATATCCACATTCCTCACATTCCAATTCAAAAGACTATAATTCTCTCTCAAGCTCAGATTGGCTATGCTTATAAACAAAACGCAAGGGCAAACATAGCAGGTTACGGGGATGCACAAGGTGAAACCATCAAGCTTCTTCCATAGTCAGTTTTGTGTAGCATGTTCGCGTATGTGTAATTCCCAAAATCTCGAAGTCCTAGCCCCACACGGAAGGAATTTTAACGTTTTAAATCGTTGCTTCTTAAAGTGTTTAAGTAATTTATTATAGTAGTTAATAATGTTCGTACTACGTTTTAAATTTAGTTTTTTATTACATTTCGTGTTATTATATCTGTTAACATATACACTGAAAAAACATTATACAAATCTACGTGAACAAAGTCATAGATAATAAAATTAGTTCTTTACGATTTTCGAATTGTGTTATAAATTATTAAATTTAAATGGCGGAATAGACCGTGGGCCGTGAACCGATGAGCACCTTTCTAATAAAACGACGTAATTAATTTGTAAAATACCTATTAGTTTTCATCGAGTGCGAGCTTTTGTCTACTATTTGTCTACCTATTCAATCTGTTAAATTTGTATTAAAAGGTACACATTTAATTTATTATTATTTACGCGTTGAAATTAAATGCTCGTTATTTTATTCAAAATGTATAAACTAAATTAAACAACAATTAAAAATAATGCGATATCAAATTAACTTGATAATAATTGAACAAAAACCATCATCAATAATATTATATTGTAAAAATAAGTTTCGTGTGGCTATACTGAAAAATGAATATTACACGTTCCAAACTCGATTTTAAAATATTTGTAAATAATACATGCGATCAAATCGGGAAAGGGGAGATAATTTATCCCCCTCCGTGATCTTTTCTTCTTCAGTATTCACAATAATACAGATATTGTATGACATAATTATTTATAAAACACAAATAATTTAAATGATAATAATTATAAATGTTATTTAAAAACATCAGCCTCGTCCCCCCCTCCACTTCTAGACAAAATTATTAAACCACCACTAAGCCTATCACTTAACTTACACAAAATAAATACTCCACCGATGTTTAGCATAGAACTCGTTGGACGGTTTTCGAAAGATTTGTAGGACGTCGATTAATCGGATAAAATATGAAAAAAACATTAGGATATAGGTATGTGAATAATTGTTTTTATACTTTCAAATATGTATAATTTATTCGATATTCGATTGAAAACCCGATAGTTACTTTGGTGGTGATTTAAACTGTTGCATTTCGACGATTGAATATGTATAAGACGGTTTAAGACGGTTTAATGATTTTGAGGGGGTAAACATTAACCCTCCGAAATGAATAACAAAATTTATTTAAAACACCGCCGTTTTTAAAAATATTCTGGGTGAAAGAAGAATAATAGGATTATTATTTTCGAATAAAACAAAAAGCAATTATCGTAACGCGCGTCTTTGTTTTTCGTTCAAAGACTTTATAAGTTTATAAAGTAGAATTAATGCGGAACACAATAGACACAAATATACGAGCGTTAATTCGGTAAAATTTTTTTTTTTTTTTTTAAAGTTTAGGTATCTAGTAGTTCTTTTCAAATTAAACTTCCTTGCAATTTCATAGAAACCATGGGATATTATAAATAAAGTTGACAAAATAAAAAAAGAAACACACTGTTATAATTAAAATATAAACAAAATAAAATTAATTTGGTTTAAATGAGCTTAAAACGATAACGTTTCAATTAGTTTAATTTCTTAAACATTATAAACAATTACGTATATACCTACCTATTGATACTTAGATTAATTTAATTATTGGGGCTTGAAAACATTTTATTGGTAATCACTTGTTATTGCGTACTTAAATTATTATTATTATTTTTTTTTTTGTTTTTTTTTTTTTATTATTATTATTGAAATGGTTTAATTTGACAACTAATATAGCTGGATTGAAAATGCTATAGGTAAATATTTAGATTGTTTTTCTATTAAAGCAAGATTTCTAGTATACAAATTGTTTGTAAACAAAAGAAATGTTTGAAAAATGTCGTACATATCATAATAAAACCGATTCATTATTGACCGCGCTCAGAATCTAAAATAACTTATTGCAACTGCAATACGTGAGCTACAGGAAAATTCGACTCTAATGACGTAGCTCTGCTACTCACGGGTGTTTTTTTTAAAATTTATTCGTAACAATGTTGTAATATATAACACAAATCCGTCCACAACTGCCACAAGTTCTAATATGATCTTGATAGATTGGTTACTTGGGGTGAATATCCTCTTGATCTCTCTCCTAATTTCCTAAATGTTCCTCCATATCTTTACTTGCCTCCAATCACCTATCCATTTCTCATACCACATCCACAACATTCCTGTTATGTCCTTAGGTGACTTAATTCGCTACTTAGGATTCGCACTTACCCGTAACCTCTCCCCACACAAACACATAGAAGAGATATGTTGTAAGGCACTCAAAGTTTTCGGGTTCATCCTCCAATCCTCTCAATAATACCATCTTATCCTACTCCTAAAACCACTCTATTGTGCTCTGGTACAGCCTATTGTTGAGTACGGTCGTGTATTGTGGGACCAAGCTCCCTGCATCGTTTAGTGCTATGATCGAGCGTGTTCAATGAAGATTTCTCCTTGCTTTTGCTTACAGACTTCAAATTTCTTGTCCACCTCGTGATTACCCTATTGTCTTGCATGCTCTGGGCCTTTCAAGCCTTGCGGATCGTAGACAGGCGAATAATATGTCTTTCCTATCTAATGTCCTTAGCGGAAAGATTGATTCTCCTACTCTCCTATCTCTCATCAACTTTAAAGTCCCACCTCGATCCACTCGCTCTCATGCCTTATTCTACATACCACTCTCGTCTACAAATTTCGTCGAAAATTCCCCTATCAAGCGATTAATGCGGATCGCAAACAACGACCCCTCCTTTGTTTGATCTTCAATTACAAATAAATAATTCACTAACCATTACTAATGGTAATTATGTCAATTATACTTTTAATCTTTTTCCATAATTCATATTTTTTTATTTTATTTTTCGTTTGTGTATTTTTTTTTTTTTTTTTTTTTTTTTTTGTTATCACCTTATCTTATTTTATTATTATATTTTCTATTAACTTTTCTATTTTCATTATTTTTTCTTTTTTCTTTTGTTTGTTCAACTTGTCACCTAATTATAATATGTAAATCAACACTATCATTTGTAATTGGACCTTGGTCTGTAATATACAATAAATAAATTTAATGCTATACAATGCCGAGGCGAGAAATGAAAAAATATAATGAATTCTCGTCAGCGGCCATCGTGTGAAAGCTTATAGTTAATCGGTATAACTGCCAGCCTACCGTTCAATTATTGAAAAACTGTCAAATGTGTTGTTTCTTTTAAAACCCGGATTTGACTTAGTCACGACTGATACAGTTTTCCGTCTCAGTAATGAAAACTTTACGATTTTACTTAATAACTAAACGTGACGTATGTTTTATTTTTTCTATGTACCCCTAACCTAATTCGAATACAATGTCAAAACAGTGTCAGTAATAAAATATAGATTTGTTCAGTATTTAGGACAATATCATAATATTATTAACTCCGACATATTCGACATATTCTTTTTCTGGTGATCAGTAAAATAATATTTTCTCCGTGCAAACTACAGGCACTCAATTTTTCATTTACTTTTACTCTCCGGGTATGTTATCTGTGGTATTATTGCCGACCATACTGGTCGAATCATAAACAGCCATGGGAAATTTTGCCGATTACAAAAACGACCTGATGAAAATGTGCAATTAAAATATTTTTTTTTTTAAACGGTCCAAATTCTTTCCATGGTTATATTTCCCTCTGACAATTTTTGTATTTGATCCTTTATTATAGTTAATATTAAACTCAAGTCATTTTTACCAGGACATTATTAGTTTGGCCATTATCACCTGGATAATGTCGTTTTTTATTGATCAGCGATATCTGTCTATCAAGTACCTAGCAAAAATATTATGAATATATAATACCGTATTATCATTATTTCAGGTCCTTGTTCCGCGTGGAACATAAGCATTCACGAGTATTCGGAGAGAGCGGACGATCGGGCAGGTCCGATTTTGTACACGTTTTGTTCGAGGGAAAAGAACGCTACCAACACGCTCCCATGGCAGATGAACGTGGTCGTCATAAAGTTAGTTGGGTGGATGGAAGTGTAGAAGAAGAACGGGGTCACAGACGTATACCAAACACTAGATTGCTAACTACCGTGATATCGTACTAACGCTTTTGGTCGAAGTTGCAAGCGGCAGCTGTTTTATTCGGGGTCCGTGGCTTTTTTACTGTGATAATATTACGCTTTTGCGATAACTGTTGGATTTGTTGTTTATTTTTACCGTTGCTACGGATTTAAAATTCACTTCTTATCACCGGTTAGCAATCTATTGTAGTGACGTATTCGAAGGAGAGGGAGCAATAGGTGGAGCCTCCCTCTTTGGATTTTTTTAGCCGTGACTTTTTTTTTAATCACAGCTATAGCCTATGGGTAATAACACAATACGGTATTTACACCCGTGATATCTATTCTTAATTGAGTATTTTTATCACCATTACCAAAAAGTGGTGATCACGTTATAGGGCAACTTTTTCGGGTACTCTCGAATTGCTTCCCAAATTCAAGTAAGTGACCTTTTTTTCACTAGAATTGCCTCCGGGTGTTTTCGGAGGCAATTCGTGTGGATAATTTTAGTATACTCAAATTGCCTCCAATAGCATACCTAGATTATTAATTAATATATCGATAGTTGACGTGTACTATCGATTATTATATAGAAAATTGTAATACTTAAAATTATTAGCAAATAAATTGAAATCTCGAAAACATACAATCTAATTAATTGAAATTTGAATTGGTGATTATAAAACATAATGATATTTGTTTATTAATTGTTTACTATTTTTTTAATATTATTAATTACTGTTGTATTGGTATTGTAAATACATAATGCTATTCATCTAAATTAATTTTTTTATTGATTTTCAATACGTGAAATATTGATACAGTACATGTACCTATTTGCATTTTTGACATCGACTTATTACCTAATACCGTGCACAAATGTCTACTAATGACATGTGTACTAATGCCGTGTACCTAATACCTATGTATATTGTATAATTGTTTTTAGTTTTAAAAAAATCTAAATAAAAATCGATTCCGATACAAGAAGGTATCTAAAATAGGAGGCGATTCGAGTGAATGATATTTTTGAAATCGGGAGACGATTCGAGTAACCTTTTTAAAAAAAAATTCACGGGAGGAAATTCGTGTGCGCCTATTTTTTTCGGTCTACAACACATAGGAATACCGATGAGGATGTCCAAGCATTGGTCGTAGATCGGTTCGCAGGGTAATTAAAACGTTTGAACCGCTCCCCCCCCCCTTGAAAAAGCTCCAGATACGTCACCGGTCTACTGTATACATTGTATACGTCTGTGTACGCCATAGAACGTTGTTATACATTAAATTTGTGTTATTATTATTATTTTTTCTTTTTTTCTTAGACTGAGAGCCATGACGCAGACGCCGCCGCAGTATTACATCAAGTGGCGGTCGGACGTGGATCGTGCGTCCAGACCGTCCGGTTCCACTGCGCACACGGCGGCCGCCAGCGGATCGTCAGCTACACGACCCGGCAATATCCGCGACTATTGGACGGCCGCCGTGTCCGCGATCGCCGTATTCGTGTACGCGAAAAAACTCAAAAACAGTTGAACGACTTGGTAACGACCGGCGCTCCCGTAAACGCCGCCGTCATTACGACATTATGTATAGATAAAAAAAATTGAAAAAAAAAAAATTCAAATTAATCCCGACGTCTCAACAATTAATCGTATTTATATCGGAGAGCGATAAAAAAAAAAAAAAAAATATATATATATATATTATATAACGTTTGATGATTGTTGTCGTCGGTTATCGTGCGCGCGTGTGACGCGTGTCGTCACCGTTTAGAATTCGAAAATGTGCCAAAAAAAAAAAAAAAAACGCATTTATTATAGTGTTATTGTTATTATTAAAAATAATAGGATTTCGTTTTACCGTCGTCGGCTCAATAATCGTCGTGAAAACTAACGCGACGCTCAAAACGTCCGAAGTTTCGGTTACGACAAAACGTGGGACAACGGACACGATAGTTCGTTTTTATAACCGTTTCCCGCGTGGCCGCATCCCCCACCCCCCGTCATAGATTTCCGTAACAATACTCGAGGAACGTTTTCGAGGGCATGCACCTGTAGGCCCTCAAAAGTACCTACCTATTTTTTTTTTTTATAGTGACCCCCCAAATTATCTAGAATAAAATCGACCAGTTGCCCGCGACCTAATGTACCAGTTTCCCCCAACACATACATGACCACGGTAAAATACCTGGCGTATAATTGATAAATATTTCGTTTTTTCACTGTTTCCTACCCAACGTGGTTTCGCTAAAAATCGGAATTTATTTAGTTCGCACTCGAGTCGGTTAGTAAGGTTAATCACGCTTTTAATAATATCCTTGTTTAAAATTCCCCCCTTCAAATGTAACTGGTACATTTTTTAAAAACCGAAAATAGTCACTGAAGGAAACTGATCAACATCCGTTTTCGATTCGACGTGCGATTGAACGTCAGCTCTCGAACTCGGTTGGCCGATATCTTCACTCGTTATCGAATCGACTTTCAATACTCGTATGTCGGTTCGGCTTAACTTTCGTCGGTATACGTGTCGGTCATTATGGACACCTTTCGAAATTATGACGTTAAGATACGTGGGTCGAAATAATTTTTTTCGTAACCCTGTCTCCGTCGCTCATCTCGACCGACAACAGGAACTTGAAAGCCGATTTTCAATCGATAAATCGAACTTTTCCTTGTTATTATTGGCTGGAAAATATATATTTTTCAAGATAAAATTACTAATACCTGTAGATGTTATATTATTTAACCAATGACAGAGATTTAATCTCAGTTCTCATTTTTTAAAAGATTGACAATGGTTCCAAATTTCCCGCGCCTGAGCTTATGACATTTGTTGGACAGGTACCTATATTACTAATTCTAAGTTTGCGATTTCGGATTTCGTTCCCCCCCCCCGTTTTTGATTTTGTCTTTGCGGATAAGAAGCTACGAGTCTCGCGTATTATACTATAATACATTTTTTTTTTTTTTGTAAATATTTTTACGCTCGTATCCTGCGTTTTAAAACAATATTGTAATAATTCATTGTGTTGGCCGTTCTATTTTACGATTTAATAAAGCTGGACATAAGACGTGTTACAAATTTAGAAATGTTACATTTAACTTTTTACTTAGTTTTCGACCTTATACTGGTGATTTTATTCATTTACTAATTAATTATTATTTTGTTTTTCATTAACTTAATAAATAACGAGTTAATTTTGAATCATACCACGTTAACTGAATATAAATTTCTTACCATTGTATGAACAATAATTGTATTTATTTTTCTTTTACAGTGTGCGGAATTTCTAATTTAAAATACTAAGAATAATTGATTAATATTTCCCAAATAAAACACATTAACCGTTCTCGTTTTCAAAAAAATCACACTCTATCGTTTTAAACGTTTTCAATATACCTATACTATGGTAATAACAATTTTACCAAAAAAAAGAGCTCAACTTAATAATGTAGTAGAGCAATTCAATTTTCAAATTACTTTAAACATGATAAGTCTTTGTCTTTTTTTTTCGATGAACTTAACTATAATTTACAGAGTTTACATTAACCGTTAACTCGCTGAACTTTCCGATTTACTAAGACTGTACGAATATGATTAATAATAATAATTAATTATTAATTATAAGGGAACTTGATCTTACTGATATTTTCTCTCATTGTCTGTCGCATACGCAAGAATTGGATGTAACACGATTGCGAACAAATGTCACTTATCAAGGATTTTTTTTTTCCTTTTTTTATCGTTTTAAAACGATTGATAGCGTTTTATTAGGCAACGTTGCCAAGTTTAGATATTGTATATTTTTCTATCTATCGAGTCAAGCAAGACTACGTGAACTACACTTATATTTCATTAGTATCTAGTTGTAAAAATAAACAAACCCAAAACGTAGAGGGGACTTATCTATTAGTTAAAAACGTAATACCTACTTTCACTGTAGTTGTTATAATACTTGCATCGCAATTTATTTTTGTCTATACAGAGCCATCAATTAATGTTCCCATTTTTATGTTTTCTGACAAAAAAGTATTTAAAATTACTTAGGAGAATTTATTGACTCTCTACCTCTTTCGGACTTTATTATTTCCATGTTCGAGTTATTCGACGCGAACGAATCGCAAATACTATTGTACGAATCAAGCTGGTTTTCTATCAAATATTCTAAAATATTAAAGATTTTATCGCGATATTGTAACACGACATTAATAAGTATGGAAACGGTATTAATAATATAAGAACGCTGTATTCATTTATATATAGATATACAGAGTGATCAGTTTATAACCGCTATTCCCTATACAATCCCGGTCTAAGATTAAAATTGTCACTTATTATTTATTACGTTAGTTACTTACTGCGAATTATAAGATAGTATATTATGATAAACGCCCAACGAATAATGATAAATCTGCTGTCGACGTGGCCGTCAAAACGACTCTTCCGGATCAGCTGGACACGGGCGTTGAAAATGGTGAAACAACACTAGTATGGGAAATTTAAAATTCAATTTACGCCGTAGAACAAGGTTTTTAATACACGTTTACAATATAATATGTTATACGTAGTGTCGCATACACTAATTTTGTATAAAGTAACAAAACTATATACTAGTGAAAATATGCCCAGGGCGGCGATAAGAGCAGATTCACTTTAGCGGTCATTTTCTTCATAGTCCATTGAGTATCCATATTATACCATCTTCGGTCGCACTTACAGCTCAAAAACGGTAAATACATTCAGTATAAGTGTTATGCATGCCGACATTTCTGGAAAAAATCATGTTTTCTAATCCATGTTGACAATGGGGAAGGGGGTTGCCATTCGAGAATCAAAAGTCAATTCTCATTTAAGGTACGATAAGAGGTAGGTGTTAAAAAGAAAATCAAATTTACTAAAAATCGTCCGTGATAAAATAATCACTCTGTATGTATTATGTATAACATACAAACATATATATATATACATTTTTTTTTTTTTTATTTATTTGTTTATTATTAAATCGTACATCAGACAAATAGATGATTTACAATAATATCTATACCTCCTGTAACCAATGCTTGTGGTGGCGGTAGAGAGTTGAAATAATTAAAACCGACAGTGTAATTTGATTAAAAATAATAATAATTCATTATTTTGAGAAATTTATAATTTGTGTACAATATTTTAGAATACAATATGAATTGTATTATCTGGCTGTTGTAGACGCTATACTGCGTGATTGAAATAGTATAAATTATTATAAAACAGGTAGATACCTAATGGCAATGCTATCGTATCGGGTTTGTTTTTTTTTTTTTTTTTTTTTTTTTAATTATTGTTATTTGAATGGCGTTCGAAACGCTTTATATCGAGTGTTTAAAGATTATATTGTAATTGCATTGCAAATATACGCGCGAGTGTAATGACGGCCAAATAAACGAATACTATTTCACGCGTACCCATAATGTGATACCTACTTATGCGTAATATTTGATATAATACGAATATTATAAAGTATTATGTATGTAATAACGGCCGTGTCACGATATAATGATACGTTGTGTACACGGTCTCGTGGAATAAACTGCAACATAATATCATAGGTTTAAACTTGAATACTATTATAACGTAACTGTGTAAAACGCACACACGGATTAGCATTTTATCGTTAAGGATTTAAACATTAAAGAATATATTATTAACTATACTAGAATTATAATATTATTACGCGCGTGTACAATCGGCTTATGTAAAAATTATATTTTAATAAAATTATATCATATTGTATAACATTAATGATATTATGGTGGCTAATATTGCACGAAATAAATCATTATTTACACGTTGGGATCTAAATTCGAAACGTCTGCACTCTGGAAGTAGTTTATTGTGGGTACCAAAATAAGTATGTAATATTTATTGCGACATCCGATAGCGTTTATCACACACCAGCAACATCGCGAGTCCCAACCCCACGAGTCGGTTTTGGTGTTTTAGATTTCTGTTTATAAAAAAATTGTTCGTACTTTATAATTATAAGTAAAAATTATGTTAAAATTTTGATTATTATAATACAAGTACGTCAAGCTGAAACGGTCATAGAATTATCATAGTCATAATGAGGATATAATAAAACAATTTTCAAAAATTAATCTTTTTCTTCTGGATTCTAAACTATCAGTATCACAGATACTGATCAAAATTACTAAATCAAAATATCAACAATAGTTTTCGGAAGATTATGATGTTTCGTATTCCAGCCAAGTACTGATATGATACTTGTATGGTTGATATTGTTGAATTTGCGCAAATATTTGAGAAACTGCTAGTTATTGCGCGGCGATAGAATGATTCGAAAAAAGATGAGGCTGCCCTCTTACGATAAACGACTACACCGGTACCTACAGTTGAATTTAGATCTCAACCGTTAATCTAAGTGAATCGTAGGCTCCCGATAAAAATGTACTATTTTTTTTATTTTGTTTTGTTTTATCGTAATTATTCGCATTCTCAAACGTCCCAAGATGTAATCGGTTTTCATTTTATGTCTTTAGCCCTAAGATTTAATCTGATACCATCCATATTATTAAGTCTCTCGTGTAATATTGATTAAATTTTTTATACTTAGCACATACTTAATTAGATCTTGAATTGGGAGAGGAGGACTAATCACACTTCCCTACCCACCTCCTTTCACTATTAGTGTCAATGACTAAAACACTCTCCTGAGCAACTATGGCGAAAATTCATAGGCATTGTTTTATAGGGTGCTCCCGAATGAAGTATTTACATTTATATATTTTGAAGTACAATTATATACGATTATACACAATTATTATGGTGTAAAATTAAAGTGTCGACGAATATGAATTAATCAAACAGGAATAATTTTAAATTAAAGTTGTAAATATCTTTGGACATGCACTGTATATTATTATGAGCGGTGGGCACATACAAATAGTTAGACAATCGAACCATTTGATAGTTGATGATCGCATTCGAACTATTTGGTGGACTGAATATTATTCCTATACTTTAACTATACGACTAGTTTTCATTCGTTTGTATAGGAAAAACTGTTCGAATAGTTTTTCCGAATAAATGTATTCGGCCACAGAAAAAAATATTCCGATGAAAAATTCGATACTTCAATAGGTCATTTAAAGCTTGAAGCAACCATTGAATTATTAGTGTTTAGATTCTAAACTATGGACAGTTTAAACTATTCGGAAGTGTCTATCGTTTATATTATAATAATTGTAAAACCTAACAAATCGTGCAGTATCTATGGTAATATGTTATTATATAATATTAATAAATTATTATTTTTAGAAAATATTTTAGACGAATATTGTACAATTATTTATATTAATTTTGTTCAGTAGATATACCTACTATTTAGAATAATATCATTCATTGTTACTATGACATAATATAATATGTGTACATTGTGTATGAATAATATTGTTTTTAATCAATTATATGAATAAATTTGTATCGACCGGTGTTTGTTATACTTATTATAAAAACTAAATCAAAGTTTCTGTATATGTTTGTCCGGGATAATCTTGAAATGGGGTTAGACTAATTTCAATAGTGAGATTTTCACTAATAAGTATATTTTTTACTTTCTCGGGCATAATTTAGTCTACTTTCATCCCGATTTAATCACTTACGGTGATTCTTTGTAACATCCGCATTTACTGACTCGGTCTATAAGTTATAACGCAACTTAAAGGAAACATACCTAAATTACGTTACTTTAAACATGACTTATAGCGTTTAGGATGAAATCATATAGGATTTAAACACAAATAACCTACATAATACCTAATAGTACTTTGCTTTTTCAAACGTCACAATAATTTATGATGGGATATAATAAATGAATGTTGAAATACAATTTCATAAGACTGCATGGACAGTAAACACAGATATAGCGTCTTCCTGTGAATAGACGACACATTATTTTTGATCTTGAAATTCGAAAATCGGATTTGATTACATTTGTTTACGCGTTCCATATACCAAACAGATGAAAAAACAACAGTTTATATTTTTATTGAATTTGATTGTCACGGTCAAAAAGTCCGTTTTTCAAATAAAAATTAAAGAGATCGATTACAGATTATCGTAGTTCTCGGGAGCAGATAATATACTTACTTAAACTTTAAAACAAGACATTTGTTAGGGTGTTATCATTTCTCGTTATGGTAAAACGCGGAAATAGATATTATATTTTTGTTCATTACTGTATGCGAACGATGGTTTTATTTTACAAACAATGCTATCACTTTATAATTTTCAAAAAATACCACGTCCCAAAGGAACAAATATGATACGGAAATTATATGGTTCAATGTAACGTTTTTTTTATATTTTGAGTGGAGTGAAGAATGTATTGGTTATACAAAGATGTTAATTTTTTTTTTTTTTGTTTATGTGAACACTTTTTCTACTAAAAGGCTTATTCCGATGTAAATAATGTAGATACTTTTCTAAGAGGAAATTTTCTTGGGGTAGTACTTTAAAGAGGTCATTTTTCGATCTTCCCTGAGTTATCCCAGTGAATAAAAAAAAACATGGGAAACCGCGAAAAACGTAGAAAAAACGGAAAAATCGGTACAATATTAAACAAATATTATTAAATGAAATATGTAATGCCTATTTAATGATTTTACCATTGCATGACATCTATATTGTTGAAAAAGCATCACCATTAACTGAACTCCGCTCAGAATCGTTTTTGCGTTAGCAATGGTTTATCGTTGCTTACATCTGTAGATATACATTAATTTCCCGTCTGTATCCTACTTTCCCAAATTCCCACCTACAACAGTGGCTGCACCCGTCCCCTTGTTTTTTTTTTACCTAGTCCAATAAATTAATAGTATAGTAACAAAAAAACGAGATAGAAGGAAGGATGCAGGCCTATAAAAAAATTGGGACTATGTTGCGACACAAAATAGGAAAAGGTTTGTATTGATTATAAAATCCTCAATTTATTTATGGTACTGAAGAATAAATAATTTTTAATTACATCAAAAATTCAGCTTAACAATTATATTACCACCATCCTCCTGATGTTTGGAGGGATTCTGAGTCATGAATCCGAGAATGGTGACGAGATCAATAAGTTAGAAATATAATGTTGTTTTATCTCTCCGGTGTTTGAATGCTAAGGTATATAGGATAACTGGGATAGTTGACATAAAATTATTTATATAAGATTCGCCAACTTCAAACAGCGTTCCATTATGCCGAATCGTGTACACGGTCCAGTAGACTACCGACTGTTGTGATGACATTGGACGGTTCCTTTTGAGCGATTTTACCGTAACATTTGAAACAATTCCACGTTTGAAAGGAATTAACGAAGAAACTTAATCATAAACATTTATCAACAAATTATTCGCATAATTATCATACAATTTTATATTTTCATAACAATTATTAACTATTAATTACTTCCTATGACTTATCAATTAGTCGTTTTTTAACCTATGTGACCGATTTTCTTTAATAACGCTGAAATAACGTTTAAACGAATATTGATACAACAATTTGAATACTCTATAAATTACGTAAGATACGATCGAAATTAAAATCAACACGACTGCAATCACGTCCAACAAGAAGTATTGATACCACGACAAATTGAGCGCGTGCGATTTCAAATGCGGCGCTCCTTTATGACGAATCACGTATTCGGTCCAGTACACTACCGACTGTTGCGGTGACATCGGACGGTCTTTGAATATACTCAACGCGATCTCGGCGTTTTTCTTGTATCTAAAACGAAGGATATTAAATTAAACGTCAAGATTAAATGACACGAACAATCGATTTACTTTTCGTTGTTAATGAGCTCTACGACGTTTGTGAAAAACGTGTCTTTGGACACGGACAATAATTCCATTGAGATCGCCATCCCGGCTTTGACCAAATTGTCTATGTTCCGGTACTGATCGCTAAAAACCGGAAACCCTAGAACGGGAACCCCGGCGTCCACCGCTTCGTACACCCCGGAGATTCCCCCGTGACTGACGAACAGCTTGACATTTGGATGCACTTTAAATTAATATCAACCGATAAAATTATTTTATTTTATTACGATACACAAAATGATCAGTACTCAAAGATCATAATATTAATGCACATTATATTATTAATAGTAATATATCAAATTTTATGATCAATAACTTTCATAAACCGTTGTGTTTTTAACATTGTGATGACCTCACCGAGTATATCCCGTTGAGGTAACCATTTCCTTATCATAACATTATCCGGTTTATCAATCAGCATTTCACCTTCATATTTCAACAACGTCCTCTGTGGGAGTTGAGCCAATACTTCTAAAAAGACAGCCCTAGTATTATTGGGCATTGATGATATTGAAACGATTGAACCAAATGTGAACAAAATGACTCCGTGTGGTGAATTTTCAATGAATTCCAATATATCCTGTAATCAGTAAATACGTCAAATAAATTTAATGAATTGTTACAATAATCATTCACGGTGAAGTACTTGAGTTTATATAAATTCCAAATAGCTTAAAATGCTATTATAAATCGTTCGTGTAACTGTATAGTTATTTTGTTTTCACGGTAAACAATAATAATTTGAAATTACGAGGGCTAATTAAAAAGTATCGAGACTGATGGTGTAACACGTAAACCGAACATTGAAGAGCATTAGCATAGTAATTATCATATGTTTCTATAACTTCATTTGAGCACGTTTGTTTTTGTAGATTTTCTACAAACTTCTTCGATTTGATTTTACCGGTACTTTGAAAAAAAATATGTTTTTCGTTCTTGGCGATTTTGTCGTGAATATAAAAGATGATCACCTTGACGAGCTTTTTGAGGGTTCAAGAGAATATTTCGAATTAATTTTTTTTTTCGATTTCAGCGGAATACAAAACTTCGCAAAACTCATGCAAAAAAATGTCAACTGAAAAAATGCGCATGTGCCTAATGGTAGCAAAGTTTGTTTTTTTAACTAAAATAATGTACACAAAATTAGAAGGTGTGAAAATTTATTTGTATAATATTATACATAATGATTACTGTGTCAAAATATATTTCAACGCTGATAAGCCAAGTGGGAGAGGGCTAAGTAAAGTTGCGCCTCCCCAAAAAAAAAAAAATGATTTTCCAAAAAACTATGTAATTTACAATTAACCTAACAAAATTTCCTATTAATTGCAATTAATTTTTAATTATTTGACCTCATTTTTCGTTAAATCGTTTGGGGTGAAGGGGAGGGAGCAAACTTCATATACATGGTTTCATAATGGTGATTAATTTTTCTGTAAACAGCATTTCTACCAGAAAGTATTCTCTAAATTTTGAAGTGTATTCACTTTCCTGAAAGGAAATTTTACCTAGATGATACTTTAAGAAGATCAATTTTTAATTTTCCAAGCGATTTTCATAATAATTGGGAAATTATTAACTGGGAAAAAACGAGAAAATTAAAAAAATGTATTAATTTAAATTTTGTTTTTTGTTGTAATTCAGTTAAAAATATTCGCAGAGACTTGGGATTTGTTCAGAAAACTTATATTTGCTTTTTATAGACCTGCCAAAATTTTCAAAATATTTTAGCCATTTTTAAAATATATTTATAACCATTTTAAATGTGCAAGATTTTTAACGTGATTTTTATTCGGTAGGTACTCTGTGAATAAAATTGTTTGACCAAACAGAAATTCTTGAAAAGGAGTTTCATTATAAACCGTAATTTTGTGTAAACAAAAATTGAGTGTAATGTTGAATTTTTTATAAAAATTTTAGTTTTAAATTTAGACGAAAATCATAATTACTGCGGCCTTTCAAAACGTGTACAACCAAACTCCGCTGAGAAACGTTTTACGTTAGCAAACATTAATTGTTGCGTACGGATATACGTTACTAATTTTTAATAGGACTATCTATCCGTGTATGTTTGAATTATTTAGTTAATCAACTCGATTCCCTTCTATGTCCGAACTTGCCAGCTTCTCACCTACAACAGCGGTCCGCCCATAATGCGAAGTGCGAAGTATGTCCGTCAGTTTTTCAAAAACAGAATAAATAAATCGGTTATGTAGATTATTGTAGCACTGGGGGAGGGTAGGGGGGAAGAGACGGATAGCGCACGTACATAAACCGTACTGCGAGACATTTGTCTGCAGGGCAGTATTATTTCTCTGCGCGGTGATACGCGAAAATTGTTCATTCAAACGTGCGCGGTAACACGTTCGTTCTACCGGTTCGTAAAAACAATACAACGTATCGATTTATAATTTACGAAAATTTGTAAAAAGCATTATTGCTATGGCATCGTTACTTCTGGCAGTCTCCGGGGCGGCCTTAAATGAATGCCGCCCACGTTGACAACGTTCGGTGAAATCGGTCTCGCCGCGTCGCTAACGTAATGCCCGTTGGTGAACACGATTGACGGCGGGACCGGAACGTACGCATCGTACGGTTTCGGGTCGATCACGTACGCCGCGGCGTCCAGCACGGCGATGGACAGTTCGGCGTACAGCGACAGCAAAGCGTTGAAGAACCGTTGCGCGAAAGTCGCCGGGACGGCGTGACGGGTGAGTATGGAGGAAACGGCCGCCGGGTTCGGCACGTCGCCCACCTTTCTGCGATCCGCGAGAAACGGCATCGCCATCGGCTCCGTGTATATGACCGGCAGGCCCGTGCCCGCCGTAGCGTACGTCACGCAAACGGGCAAACCGGGTTCGATGACGACCGCGTCGAAATGGCCGTCCAGGCCGTCGGCCAACAGGCCGCTGAGTCGGCGGTCGTTGTACGTACAGTGGCAATTGTTTCTCATCAACTTCAACGTCTGCGCAACGACCGTCCGCTGGTCGTTCACCACCAGTTTCAATCGCATGATGTCCACGCCGCCTATTATTGACAGAACGTCGGACGTATCCACTTCCGTGTAATTTTCCCGGTCGCCGTCCGGGAGCGGCGTAAACGCGGTGACGCTGTGCCCGCCGTCCGTCAGCGCCCGGAGCACCGCGCTCATGAAGTTCCAGTGGCTCTTGCACGAAGCTGTCTCGACCGCCAATATTCTCGCGTTGTCCGCCGGCGAAACGCACGCGGCGGCCAACACGAACACCACGGCCGCCGCCGTCCAGTCGCGATTCGTGTGGTTTTCGATCAAAGACATTATTCCGTATAGGTATGCCTGTCGACCTTATCCCACTGGATCGTGAAGCGAGACTATTAGTCGCGATCGATGATGCATCGTGATTCGTCAATAGCGGATTTAATTCGGTCGTTGATATTCATATCATAGTTTTGTATCTGCTGCTACTGCGCATGATGGCGACAACTGTTATCGAAAAACAAATATAACACTCACGGTTTTAAAAGCAATGCACTTAATAAAAATTAATCATTGGAATTTTTTTTATCGTACATTGTTCAGCGCGATACGGGATACACGAGTGGTGTTCATGTCGCACTCGGGCAATCCTGCATTAAAACATTTAGAGATCCTGGTCCCGAACTTTTCAATAAGACCTTCAAACAGTATAGTTACAAATAAATTGTTAACGATTATTATAAAGATATTATTCAGCGAAATAAAAACAATACATACTAATATAAAGATCTAATAGTTCTGGCTAGAAGTTATCGACGGAAATTTAATAAAAGCAACGCAATTTCAAAAAAATACAAAGTAAATGATTAAATGCATAGATGAAGAACATAATACTGTACCCAGAACTGAGGATCCTGGGGTATTGTGTTGCTCCCCCACGGGTCCATCATGAATCTATTGTGAAAACCGTAACCGAATTTAAAATCCTGCCTACGCTGCTGCTCTTAAGCCATGCCCATCCTCTGGACCCCTTCTTAATCCGGGCTTGCGCCTGGAGAAAATATAACACATCACTTTAAACTCATCGCACTTCAATATTTCAATCACCGAAAATAATATGCATAATTTCCTACAATGTTATCCGAATGCTCCGTCCAATATTCATTTTTTTTTTTTCAATCAGGTTATATTAATTTTTTTATTTTTCACTTTTTAAAATTTTCAAAATAGTCAATTTGTAAAGCATGTCATTGTAAAAGTTTGAATGTATCATACATTCATGTCCGATCGATAGTTTCTCAATAACAGCCGTTTCAATATCTAGAAAAAGGTGCGAAAAACGAGTCTACCACGTTACGCGTTAGAGAATCGTGGTCGTTTTATCGTCTCGGGTCTTAAACTTTTTAACGCGTAAAGTCCAAAATGCTTGATACTGGCCCGAACAGCTGCCCGTTCTGTCCGTACGCTAAAACCGCCACTGGCCTAAACACTATTTCTTATATTGTTATAATTGTTATTTCTAATTTTGTATACTCTACTGTTGCAAAATGTGCACTCGACACTTCACATCATACACCACATAGCTGACTCTTAACGTTAACAACAATAACTATTACGTAAATAATAAATATTGATAACACGTCAAATTGAGCGCTTGGGATTTCAAATTGGGCGTTCCATTATGCCGAATCGTGTACACGGTCCAGTAGACTACCGACTGTTGTGATGACATTGGACGGTTCCTTTTCACCGACTTTACCGTAACACTTGAAACAACTCCACGCATGAAAGGAAATAACGAAGAAACTTAATCATAAACATTTATCAACAAATTATTCGCATAATTATCATACAATTTTATTGGTATATACAATTTTATATTTTCATAACAATTATTAATTACTTCCTGTGACTCATCAATTAGTCGTTTTTTAACCTATGTGACCGATTTTCTTCAATAACGCTGAAATAACGTTTAAACGAATATTGACACAACAATTTGAATACTCTATAAATTACGTAAGATACGATCGAAATTAAAATCAACACGACTGCAATCACGTCCAACAAGAAGTATTGATACCACGATAAATTGAGCGCGTGCGATTTCAAATGCGGCGCTCCTTTATGACGAATCACGTATTCGGTCCAGTACACTACCGACTGTTGCGGTGACATCGGACGGTCTTTGAATATACTCGACGCGATCTCGGCGTTTTTCTTGTATCTAAAATAAAAATATAAATTAAATAAGGTAACGTCTATTTACGAGAATTACCCGAGTGCCATCGCTTACTTTCTGTCGTTGATGAGCTCTACGAGGTTGTTAAAAACATCGTCTTTAGTTACGGACAGTATTTCCATAGAAATCGCCATGCCCGCTTCGACCAAATTGTCTATATTCCTGTACTGATCGCCGAAAAATGGAAATCCGAGGACGGGAACGCCAGCATCCACTGCTTCGTATACTCCGGATATTCCCCCGTGACTGATGAACAGCTTGACTTTTGGATGCACTATAAAAATAGAATTATATGCTGCTTCGTTTTCATTAGCTTATGCTTTTCTCGGTTTGGTTATTGTAATATAACTGTTATCACCAAAAGGCCGGACCACTTAATACGCAGCAAACGCAAATGCAGGAAAAATACAAAGTTACTAGTGGAAACTATGACAAAGTAGATAGGTGTATATGATCACAGTTTTTCTAACGCACAACCCGCGTAAATATATTCTTCGCTTCGTTTATACCCTGTTTCAAAAGAGAAATACCGCTTTCGCGACTAGTTTTTCATTCTGCGGCGCGCATCCCCATCAGGTAACACCGGTCACGACCATTCACATGTTAAAAAACCATATTAAGAAATATCTCTATGGTCTATGGGATGCGAGCCGCAGAATGAAAAATGGTCACGAAAGCGGTATGTTTTCTTTTGAAACAGAGTGTATTGTGTTATCGTATTGGCTATCATTATCATTCGGCCAGAAGTGGAGAATTTGCCCACACTAAACGAAGGCGTAACGCACTGTGATCGTATCTAACAATTGTGTCATGTGTTTATAACACAGAATATATAAACAGAACTTACACGCGTCCGCGGATGATAAGCAAATTATCCGAAAATGAAGAGAATTCGGTAACGCTGACCGATCGCATATTTACGTACTGCGCAAGAAATAAAATTCTAACCGACGCAGTTTTGCATAACAAATCGGAGCTTTTTAATTTCCTCCATTCACTTCGCTTCGTCAGATTAGGTTAGGGTAGATACACAATTTTACAATTAGGTATATAAATAGGTATATTATTCATGCTTTCGGACCGTTATCGTTATTTTTTCTTATCGTATTCAGATGGCTGCCCTCTAGAGGAGATTATTGATTTCTCAATAATGTTTATTTTTTTTTTATTTTTTTTTTTATCCTATTTACAAAAATTCTACCAGAAATCTTCCTCCGAATTATCAAGTGTAACTTTTTTTTTCCTAAGATGGTACTTTAAAGGGGTAACATTTTTTTTTATTTTTCCAGGGGAAAAACGTAGGAAAACGGGAAAAATTACGAAAATAATGCTTTTATTATTTTCAATTTTGTTTTTTTTTTTTTTTTTTTTTTTTTTTTTTTGTTCTTATTCGGTGGAAAATAATCGTATAGACTTAAAATTATAATAGTAACGTTATATTTGCCTTTCATAAACGTGGTAAAATTTTAATTTTTTTATAATAATTTTATTATCAAATTTTAACGAAAATCGTAAATATTACGGCCTTTTAAACATGTATAACCGAACTTTAGCTCAAAATTGTTTTTCTTCGCTAAAGATTAATCGTTGCGTACAGATATACGTTAAATTCCTCTCTATATCCTACCTTCCCAACTTCTCACCTACAACAGTGACGCACCCATCGTGCGAAGTGTATGTCCGTCTTTATTCATTTGTATTTATCATGTTATTCATGCTAATAACTAATACTCATATCACGGTTGTGTTTGTTTACTATAGGTGGTACAAGTTTAGAGAACGTTTCTTCCCCGAGGTACTTATTGCCACTTACGAACCATAAGAGATCCGTTTTCCCGTCACCCGCCCTCCTTATTGTTTCCAGCAGTTTATTATTCTATATCAGTCCGTGGCGGTGAACTTACTGAGTATGTCCCGTTGAGGTAACCATTTTCTTATCATAACGTTATTTGGTTTATCAATCATTTCAACTTCGTATTTCATCAAAGTCCTATGCGGGAGTTGAGCCAAAGCTTCCAAAAAAGCCGTTCTTATATGGTCGGGCATTGAAGACATTAAAACAGTCGAACCGAATGTGAACAAAACGACTCCGTATGGCGAATCCTCTATGAATTCTAATATATCCTGTAACCAGATTATACTTACGTCTATTGAAAGCAACTTCAATATTATAAATGTTATTATATGTGTAAGTGTATTATTGGTTTATTGTTGAGTGTATGGACAATACTATAATAATTAACTACATTAATGCCCGGTTGCACAAAAAACGCCCTATAAATATTTTATTAATTCGATAATTAATTGGCACTATAAGTTTTTATTGGTTTCATAAAGAAAATAATGATAAATAAATATTAAAAAACGTTGCGCAAAATATGATAAGATATATATTTATCCGCATACTATAATGATTTAATAACCTAAAGCCGTGTTTGATAACAGATAATCGATAAAATAAAATTAATTTGTCATTAAGTTGTTAATTTATTCATATGCGTATTATTAAATTATAATTTTTGACCCAATGACTGAAAAGAATAACAAAAATTTTAATGAAAATCGTAAATATTACGGCTTTTCAAATCATCTATAAACGAAGTTCGCTCAAAATCGTTGCGTACAAATATAAATTAAATAACTCTATGTGTCCAACCAACCCGACTTCCCCGACCTATAAGAGTGGCGCTTCCATCCACGTTAAAACTTACGTCTACGTTCAATAAACAACCAGCAAGTATTGAAATATCTGTAAGACGTTACAAAAAAAAAAAGTGCAGAAATCTATTTAGCGCCGCAAAGCCAAGTAAAAAAAAAAAAAAAAAGACCTACGCGTCGACTGCAGTAAATTACACGAGACGACCAACTATTGTGCGATTTTACGACAAACAGCCCGACCTCTCTGTAGCCTAAACTAATAGACTGGTTGTTTTGCAAATTGCACGGATTAATCAGTGTGTTATGTAAATGACACTATTGCTTGTACAGCTTGATTGGTATGCAAAAGTATTCGTATTTGACGAAGTGCGATAAATGAATACAAATAATTTAACTCAGCTTAGCGGCCACTCATCGTGTGTACTTAAATAGTATTATGGTAATATTAATACATTTTAAAACGGGGGATGTAAACATTCATACCGGCGCATTGTGTCTTTATTTGTAGTCGTAAATATTGGTAGCCACCAAACTAAGTTGAATGATTTGTATTCATTTATCGCACTTCGTTAAATGCAAACGGTCGCTACACTAATGAGTTTAAGAAATTATACTTGGCCTCTTTTTGAAATCGCAGCTTTTCTAACTTGAGTTTTTTTTTTTATTTTTTTTTTTTTTTTTTTCTTAGCGAGGTTTTTACGCGTAGTCGACGGAGGGTTTTCGTAGGGATACCTGTACCTGTATAAACGTAATATTACTTTTGGTATCCTCTCCGGTGGTTTCAAATGAATACCGCCCACGTTGACAACGTTCGCTGAAATCGGCCTTGCCGCGTCGCTTATGTAATGGCCATTTGTGAACACAACGGACGGCGGGACAGGGGCGTACGTGTCGTACGGTTTCCGGCCCGCCAAAAACTTCACTGTGCAAGCGTGTAGGGCGACATACGCTTCGGTGCAAAGCGACAACAAAGTGTTGGAGAACCGCTGTGCGAACGTTCTGGGGACGGCGTAACGGGCGAGTATCGAAGAAGCAGACGCCGGGTTCGACACGTCGCCGACCGTCCTCCTGTCCGCGAAAAACGTCGTCGCCATCGGCACCACGTACACGACCGGCAAGTCCGTCGAGGCCGTCACGTACGCCATGCAGACCGGAAGGCCGGGATGGACGAAGATGGCATCGAAATTGCCGTCTCGATTGTCGGCCATGAGATCGACGATCCGGCGGTCGTTGTAAATCCGTTCGCAGTTGAATCTCCTCTGGGTCAACGAGAGGGAAACCAGCGACGCCGCGGTGCCGTACATCCGCTTCAGTTTCGTCAGGTCTATGCCGACCATCGTCGGCAGTATGTCGGACGTGTCCACTTCCGTGTAGTTTTCCTTGTTCCCCTCCGGAAACGGCGTGACCACGGTAACGCTGTGTCCGCTTTCCGTCAGCGCCCGGAGCACAGAGCTCATGAAGTTCCAGTGGCTTTTGGCCGCGACCGTTTCCACGGCCAATATTCTCGCGTTTTCCGCCGGCAAAACGCACGTGACGGCCAACGCGAATGCCACCGCCGCCGCCGCCGTCCGGAAACGTTGAAAACGCGTCATCATATTTTCTTTTTATAACCGGAGGGAATCGAACGCGCGCGCGCACATTAGAACACCGAATCCGACCTAACGCGACTGTTAATTACGATCGATACGTCGATCGAACAGCGGGTTTAAAACAGCCGTAGACCACCTGGCCATGGGTAATCACAGCGGTTGTCTACTTGAAACACAATCTGCTGTTCAATAGATTATTTACTATCTGTACACGAATAAAACACTCGTAATTGTTACATCTCGTTGTACAAGATGTCACACATAGACATACCAATTGCGATATCTTAGAAAGTATAAGCGTTTTTCGGGATTTTTTTTAGACATTTTAAAAAACAATCGGCTCTAAAATGACGCATTACCGTTGTTTATTGTGGCCATTATTTTTCGGTGTGAAACGATCACCAACTTATTTGATATTCAAACGGCAAACCGTATTCAAAAATTCCATATTTAGATGAGGTAATAATTAAATTAGTACATTTTGGTTTTGAAACGTGTGATTTTCGTGCGCACGTTGACGAGGTACCCCAATTGCAAGTTTGGGTAGGGGAGCACTGTTCTGAACGTAGCGAGGGATCTCTTAATTTTACCATGATTTTTTTTTTTTTTTTCTATCAGTAAACAAATTTAAAAAGACGTAAAATTGATAAATTTACGGCGCATGATTTCATTATTTTACATTTTGTGTTTTTTTTTTTTTATTTAATTAAATTAAAAATATTCATAGAAGTTTGAAATTTGTACAGAAAACTTATATTAGCTTTTAGCTTCTAAACGTGGTCACATTTTCAAAATATTTTGGAGATATTGGAACTATTTATGGCATTTTATATTTGAGAGTTTTTTTTTTACATAGTTTTTATTTTTTATATAATCTGATGAAATGGTTTGATTGAATACAAATACTTGAATATTTAATCAGAGTTATAAGTTATTACAAGTTTAACTTAGTTATTAATTAAAAATAAGTTGAACATTATGCTCTATTAGTCTTTTTTCATACGCGTTTCATAATCATATTTTGATCAAAATCATAAATATTACAGCATTTTTAAATGTGTAAATCCGAACTTTGATCAGAATCATTTTTTGTTAGCACATAATGGTTTGTTGTTCAATTGTTAAATAACTTTGCCTTTCTCGCTTCTAATCTACAACAATAGCACACCCATCCCTAATATTAGCTTTTTTTTTGAAAAAAACCTTTTTCAAATTTATTTTCGATTATGTCGGATTGCTTTTCTATTGTTAGATAATAATGTAAACAATAATACCTAATAATAAAAATAATAATAGTTTGCTTGTCCGTGGCAAGTGGCACCCAATTGTCATCTATGTCACTAAGATAACCCATAAATAAACAATTAGATATTCGTGCCAAAAATACCTAAAATCCTAATTATCGCAGTTATCCGCAGAGATCCCTAATTTTTTATTTTTTTTTCCTAATAAAATACAGCTCATAGTACTCGCTGACGTAGGTGTACTCACGAGGGGGGTGGAAGGCTTCATGAAATTTAACCCACCCCCCTATTGGTCATATTTTTTTTGCAACCAATTAGTTTTAAATTTGTAAGGAATGTGAAAATGCATTTTCGCATCGTATAGTTTATATTTATAATTACAATATAAATATATTTGTTGCACAAAAATGTTATTGATAAATTATTATAATAATTTACTGATTAATGATTATATACAGTAATATATCTGAATGGAAAGAATCAACGCAGCTACTAATGCTAATATCCTGGCAAAAGCTATGGTTTCTGAATTGTTAGTATCTTTACAAGTTATAAAGGTGACTATAGTTATGAAACAAATTATTTTTTATCTTAAGCTCCAATTTATTATTTGATTATTTAGATATTATTTGCATATGGTTTGCCTCTCTGTAGATTTTTACAAAAAGTTTAAATTGATTTAAAGGATGCAGTGGACTTAGTTAAGATTAGTGTTTTGAGTATTTAACGATTACGTGATGATAATATAGAACAAGAGTTCAGTATGTTTAAGTCAAATTTTCAAAAGTTATTTGCGAATGACAGCGGTACCTCATGTTTTTGGGTAAATTCGAGAGGTGAAGTTTTTTTTCGAAATGGCACAGTGCGTGACGTTTTAAGAATGTATAAAAATATAAAAAAATAACTAAAAACCTAATTATTGCAAGTTTTCGTCTAGGAGTCCCTGTTTTTTCTAGTAATAAATATAGCCTATGTTACTCAGGGATAATGTAGCATTTTAATGGTGAAATAATTTTTAAAATCGGACCCGTGGTTTTTGAGTTTATTCGTTACAAACATAAACAAATCTTTCCTCTTTATAATATTATTAAAATCAGTATAGATTTATGGAGCTAGTAAATAAATGATAAATAATCTCGATCCTAATTTTGTTTTACACAAATGGGTATTTTAGTTAATTATTAACAATACATTGACTCATTCCAATTTAGTTTTGATTTTCTGTGGATATTTTAAAAATAGCTTGTAAATAATTGTGTAAACTTTATAAGCAACGAAAAAAATGACGGCTATTAAAATTGACATCGTAGTAATTACGTCCAACAAGAAGTATTGATACCACGTCAAATTGAGCGCCTGCGATTTCAAATGCGGCGCTCCTTTGTGACGAATCGCGTACTCGGTCCAGTACACTACCGACTGTTGCGGTGACATCGGACGGTCTTTGAATATACTCGAAGCGATCTCGGCGTTTTTCTTGTATCTAATCCGAATCATACGAAATGAGATTTTTACCGGTTATCGGATTCTCAGGCGATTAACAATCGTTTACTTTTCGTTTTTAACGAGCTCGACGACATTTTTGAAAAACGCGTTTTTAGTCACGGACAATACGTCCATGGAAATCGCCATGTCCGCTTCCACCAAGTGTTGTCGATATTCCTATACTGATCGACGCACAATGGAAATCCAACGACGGGAACGCCGGCATCCACTGCTTCGTACACTCCGGATATTCCCCCGTGACTGATGAACAATTTAACATTTGGATGCGCTTTAAATCAAAACAACACAACAACAACGATTGCGTTTGTTTTACAATTTTACATAAATTCGAAACAAATTATGATACCTATATTTGGTCAAGATCATATTTTCGAAGCGGTGGTGGTGAATTAGTTAGTGGTTAATTTTAGGGGGGTATGGTGGACAAAGTGACCCCACGGACTTATACTTAAACAGATTGACATGACACTGACAATTGAGCAGACAATTTCGAAACGTATTCGCCGCCAGTGTTTTCCACTGTCACACGATAAACGACGCGAAATGCAGTGGGAGTAAATGACACGAACAATTTAAATTGCGCTATTTTTTTTCCTCGTAAAAACTTCATTCCGCTATTTCGGACATGGGCTGTTCCCGTTCTATTCATACATTGGATTATGATTCGTGACCTCACCAAGTATATCCCGTTGAGGGAACCATTTCCCAAGCATTATATTGTCCGGCTTATCTTCCATTTCGCCTTCGTATTCCATCAACGTTCCTTGCGAGAGTTGAGCCAAAGCTTCCAAAATATCGGTTTTAATGCGATCCGGCATTGAAGACATTAAAATAGTCGAACCGAATGAAAACAAAATGACTCCGCTTGACGATTCCTCTATAAATTCCAATATGTCCTACAAACAGAAAATATGCCGAATGAAGACCAACTTATTTATAATGTCAACACTTTATTTCTGTATACACTACGAAAAATTGCGCCTGCCGCTTGTATTGTTATTGTAGTCACGAGATTCCGCGGACGTAAGAAAAACACTTTTTTTTTTTTATATGATTTACAGTATAGTCAATATCATTGTATCGGAAAGTATTAATTCTTTGGGAATTTTTTTTTTTTTTTTTCAAACAACTTATAAAACAAATAGCTCTAAAATTCCGTTAATAATAATATAATAATTTATTGGCCAAAAAGAAAGTACAATTTTTCATTAATTAATGATTGTATATATATATATATATAACATGGTTAGATGGCCCATCTAACCATGTTGCTCATATTGCTTTTTTTAGTTCTCTAAAGTTGACGTATTTATATGAGTTATTATTTGAATTTATAATTTGTTGTGGAGCGGTATGATTTAATTGTAAAAATAAAGGATAATGATCAGTAATTAGTGAGTCTATAACTGCTGAGTGAATGTTATAATGTTTGTGATTATCTCTAATAAATATATGGTCGATGCAACTATTGGTCAAAGGTCGTGTGGGGCAATTAATGTATTGGATAAAATTAAAAGAATTTAATAAATCATAGTATAGTGTTGTAGAGTTTGTGGTGTCAGATAAATTTATGTTCATATCACCTATTAGTATTAACGTAAGTTGCCCATGGGAGTTGAATATATTAGTGATTATTACCTCGAAATCCTCGATAAGCTTTATAATATTTCCACTAGGAGATCTATACACTGATATTATTCCATAATTAATTTTATTGAATGTTATTGTTGTAAACAGACAATTTGTATCTCGTATTATAAATTCAGCCGTGGTGTAATTTATATATTTTTGAATAAATATAACTATGCCGTTTGATTTGCGTATATGATTTTTAGAAATTGAAAATTGATAGTTATTTAACGAGATGTATTTTTGATCAATATTATTTCCTAACCATGATTCGGCTGTAATAATGATATGGCTTTTATTCTTAATTGCTGTATTTAGACATTCTAGTTCAGATAAGTGATTGTGAATACTTCTGATACTAGTAAATAGTATATTCAAACTGGTATCATTGTTATGAAGTTGTGTGTTAATCTTATTAATTGAGTGAGTTGGTGTATTTTCTGTATCGATGATGTCGAAAAGTGTATTAATTGATGCCATTGAGATCGTTTAATTTATTATTTATCCCCGTTTTTTTCTTTTTTGTGAATATAATGTAGTCTATTATTAAAGTAAACAAATTAGGTATAATATCGATAAGTTTCTAATGAAAGTCTAATAACTAGAGTTTTAGGTAAAATAAAAGGAAATAAAAATATGTATGTAATAAGTATTAATGAAATATACATTTTAAATATGTGTGTTCAGTATTTACTGATTACAAAAACTACAATGTCAGAAGATCCTTACCCGATTTTATTCGAATTATTTTTGAGTTTTCATCTTTTCTGATGAGAATGTCTGAGTTTGTTATCCATACAAACTTATAATTTTTTTCTTTGGCCGTCGATCTCGTGTTTGCAAATAGAATTCGTTTGTCCTTGGTTAAGCGCTCGTTAATGAATATTTTATTATCAGTTGACCAATTACCAGATAACATGTTTGCATTAAGCTTAATTGTTTTCGATGAACGTATAAGGTTTTTTCTCATTTCTGCTGTTTCCAGTTTTGCTATTATTATTGGATAGCTGTTATTTGATATTGATAGTCTACTTGCTTCTGTAGTTGTAATTGTAATATTTAATTTTTTCGCGATCTGTTGCACGATAGCAATACAATTTTCATTGGGAGACTTAGGTACTCCTTTTATTTCAACTCTGTTGCCGAGATTGTGTTGTTCAAATGAATCTAATTTTTGTTTAATTTCTAAAATTTCGTTAGATAATCGTAGGTTTTCAAGTTTAATTTTCTCATTATCGTTTCTTAAAAGTTTCATTTCAATCAGTGATGATTCTAATTTTTTGTTAAAATCATCGAACTGCTTGCTCATAAAACTCACTGAATTTAATATATCTTCCATTTTTGCGTCCAGTTTAGCCATTGGATCACTTATTGTTTTAATATCAGAGCTTTGGCATGCAACACACGAAAATCTGGATTTCGTGTTTTTTACATTTTTTTGAAATTTGTTTCAGTGACCCCAGTGCAATAAAAGTGGAATTTTGTTACACAAACACTGCATTCCAATGTGTCCTCATTATGTGTGAATTTTTCATTACATTTCGTGCACTCGAAAATCATTTTAAATACGTTGTATATGGACGTTGTACTTCGGAAATTAGATAAGCGATGGAACGCTAACACACGTCTTACTCGGACAAAGGCCAAAACAATACTGAATACGTTGTTTTTGTTATTCTTATTTTCGGAGGTAAAATCGTTTCGGACCTTTAAATAACGACCTACGATGAAAATTCCATAAATAAATGACGTTTTAGTTGAATTAAAATATATTGGTGTGGACGTTTTTAATTTGCGACAACGCTCTACGCGTGTAATATCAAACTCGAATACTTGACGTAAATTTTGTGCGCTAAGAAAATGCTGAAAAAATAGCGTGTTGCGTTTTCGATTAAGTATACTGGTAACAGATATTACGAAATCGTTGTGCGTCGATCCCGCGTTTATGTTTCGTATGTTCTTTTAAACCGACGGACGAACCGAAGTAACGTGAAAGACGGAAAAAAAAAAATGATATTATCATGTGAAGAAATTCATCAACAATACTTTCGGTATTTTCCGGGGCGGTTTTAAGTGAACGCCGCCCAAGTTTACGGTGTTCGCGGGAATCGGCCTTGACGTGTCGCTAATGTAATGGCCGTTGGTGAACACTATTGACGGCGGGACAGGGACGTACGCGTCGTACGGCTTCGGGTCGACGACGGGCATCGCGGTGTCGTTCGGCGTACACTGAGAGCAAGACGTTGGAGAACCGTTGCGCGAACGTTTTCGGGACGTCGCCGAAGTTCCGGCGGTCGTCGAAAAACGACTTTCCGTACGGCACCACGTGTATGACCGGCAAGTCGGTGCCGGCGGTCGCGTACGTCAAGCAGCCCGGGAGACCGGATTCGATGACGATCGCGTCGAAATCGCGGTGCAGGCGGCCGGCCAAAACGTCGGCGAGTCGACGGTCTTTGTGCATCCCGTCGCAATTCAATTTGGACCACCACACCACACCATCATTGAGATCACCGACCGCACGTCGCCGTACGTCTTTTTCGCCAACATCAGGTCCGTGTTGACCGTTATCGGCAGCGTTCCCGGCGTGTCTTCCGTGTAGTTCACTCGGTTCCCGTCCGGAAACGGCGTGAACACGGTGACGCGATGCTCGCCGTCCGTCAGCGCCCGGATCACCGCGCTCATAAAGTTCCAGTGGCTCTTGGCCGCGAACGTCTCTATCGCCAATATTCTCGCGGATTCCGCGGGTAAAGCCGGCGCGACGACGACCGACACGAACGCCGCCATCGCACGGGCGGTTTTCGTTACGTTTTCGGCACGCATATTAATCACAAACCACGTCCGCGACCCGGTTGCAAACCGAAACCGTTCAACAGCTCTGAGTGCTTCGACAAAGTAATCGGAAACCTGCGAATGAAACTTTATTAAAGTGATGTCAATATTTATCAATTCATTATCTCAAAGAACATAACACTTACAATTATTATTATATTTACCCACGCACTTAAATAGTAATTCGCTGTACAAGACGGTACCAATCGAGAACGCAACAAGCACCACTCGTACGTAATTGTTTTTATTTTCAAAACTTCCCCCCCCCCGTGTGAATTCCACAGTGCCTAATTGTTTAACAGCCGACCGTAATTATATTTTAATCGAATGAAATACAAACCACTTAGTCGATTATGTCACCAACAAAATACGTATAATTTAATTGTTCGCGTTCTTTGAAAACGTGATGCGATTAAGTTTATCAATATATTACTCAGTCGGGCGCATAAAATTGTCAAAACACGAATTTAATTTAAGGGCGCCGCCGCGCCCAGTGTTCTGCCCGCCTTTGCCGAAAGCTATCGCACTACGCGTTTTGCCCGCTTGCGGTTTTATGGTTTTATCGTTATATTATCGTGACGTCATTTTCTAATTTTGCTCTTATGCATACATCGATTGATACATTAGTAATTTCATTATCACGACGAACGCAATAAAAATTTCGGGGGATGAGGATGGGAGGATTGAGTTGTAAACATTTTTAAATGTTCATAAATATCCAAATTCAATGCAATATTATACACGTAAGTCGTAAATGTTAACAGGCCAACCGACACGTGTACCGTGTATGGTACAATGTAGTGTTGCCAAGCAACGCCTACCACTTATTACTATATTTTTGGCCATTACGCTAAACCAAAAGAATCATAACCGTTGAAAAACAAACGCACTGAAAATCATACATTCAGGTGTTTTTGATAAATCATCTGCAGCTATAATAGATAGATACCAATTTTGTTATTTTCCCGACTAAAAAGTAAACAAAATTTGAATTTTAAACACATAGTCACCAATACTATAAATAATAGGTACTATAAACAGGTAACGGAGAAAAGATTTAACGCCCTAACACCCCCCACCGTAAATACGCCACTGACGTCATGATAACCGGGCTAATAGTTTTATGGTGACATAACCGTAAAACCGCTGGCGGGTAAAACGCGTAATATGATAGCATCCAATCATGGCGGGAAATTAGCCCGCAGTAAGGACCTAAATATTTTAAAATAAGTTATAGGATAATATTACGTTATTACATATTATTATGATGTTAAATAATTAAATACACGGCGTGATGTTTGGATTCAAATAGTTTAAGAAGAAAAAAAGCTGTTCAATGATAATGATGACGGGTACTACCACTGTTATAAGTTAAAAGTTGGGAAGATAGTTGAGGAGGAATTTAATGTATATTACAGATACACAGAGCAACGATAAACCATTGTTAATGAAAAAACGATTCTGAGCGGATAGTTAGATTGATAGTTTTGCTTTGTAAACAATATGTGTCACATTATGGTAAAACAATTACGAGTACATAGAAAATATATATTTTCTTTAATACTATTTGTTTAATATTGTACCTATTTCTCCGTTTTTTCTACGCTTTTCCCATATTGATCCCGGTTTTTCTCATTTATTGGGAAAACTCCTGGGAAAATCAAACCATGACTTCCCTAAAGTACCTACACAGTTCGATTTTCTTTGAGAAAAAGTGTTGTCATTGTAAATTGGAGCAAACTTACTGGTAGAAAAGTTGCCCAAAGAAAAAAAATTAACAAATAAATATCATTATAAAACCAAAAAATAAGACATAAATGTGAAGTAAAATTCAACGCACACAAAGTTTTCATATGGTAGCTAAAAGGTAATATATTTAAGTATCCTTCTACATAATTATTTATTATTATTTAGTCATTATGGGCCTCAAGACGATAAAAATGTAATTGTGACGAATAATATTATAATTTATCGTGAATCACGCTATCTTAAAAATATGAAAACGAATGCAGAGCAATATATTCCACTTGCATTGTTTTACTGTTTGATTGCCGTAAATCCGTGACAATTTTTTTCAATAAAATTCTAATCATTCAATTTTCACCAATTTAATGGTGAATTTATTAGTTATAATCTGGTTTTTATAACAAACAAATGTTTCATCCTACATCATAAACTATTACAAAATTCAATACGTTAAAAAAAAGCTTAGGAGAATCTTGGGGAAACTATTTAATTGTTTTAGGAATTTAGGCGTTAAGCCCCCTATTTATGCCTAAACCGTTTACATTAGGACATTCAATAGCAACTTAATTAGAAATAAATAATTAAAATAATATTATTCTATGGGTACTTATAATAAAAAACATGTTTTATTTTATTTCTATATCGACAAAATAATAGATACTTTTCACAAATATATGTATGATATCTATAAATTTTAATTGAAAATTAACAACTATAACGCAATCGCAATAAAAAAAAATAAATAAATAATTACACATTTACAAAATATAAATACATACGAACGTAAAAAGTAATTTTCATTCGCGTTTGGTTTTAATAACGCGCGAATGTTTAAATGAATACTGATATAACAATTTGAATACTCTATAAATTACGAACGATACGGTCGAAATTAAAATAAACACGACTGCAATCACGTCCAACAAGAAGTATTGATACCACGACAAATTGACCGCTTGAGATTTTAAATGCGACGCGCCTTTGTGACGAATCACGTATTCGGTCCAGTACACTACCGACTGTTGCGGTGACATCGGACGGTCTTTGAACACCTCTGAAGTAATTTTGGCGTTTTTCTTGTACCTGAAGCATGAGCGAATTAAGTTAGATAGATTATTCGTGATCGTACGACAATTAAGTCAAATATAATTCGAACGATGATCGTTTACTTTTCATTGTTGACGAGCTCGACGATATTATTGAAAAACGCGTCTTTCGTCACGGACATTACTTCCATGGAAATCGCCATGCCCGCCTCGACCAAACTGTCGATGTTCCTGTACTGATCGCTAAACAACGGAAATCCTAAAACGGGAACGGCGGCGTCCACCGCTTCGTACACTCCGGATATTCCGCCGTGACTGATGAACAGCTTGACGTTTGGATGCGCTTTTGAATTAAAATGAACTAACGTCAGATTTTAGCATTTACATTTTAAATGATTCGTATCCATAAACCGTGTACCTATAGTTATGTATGTATTTAAATTATAGACACTAGATAAATCTATCACCTGTACGGCTGTACCGTGCGTGTATAAGAGAAGGCTCGAAGCAAAAACGCTTCTATTTCTCCGCTTTCGCTTATATCCCGACTATTTGATGACGACCACCCTCGGCCTAAACTTCCACTTGAACCAATCTCCGCAATTCGCATACACTGGATTGCATACGCTGTTCTTGTGTGTCCTCATAAAATGCTCACATCCAGCCACTTAACATCTAATCTAACCTCTCCAACGCTTTATTGTCACTTTGTACCTAAGCGTATGTCGCCCTACACGCTTCCGCACGATGAAGTTTTCGGCGGACCGGAAACCGTACGGTACGTACGTCCTGTACCGCCGACAACAGTGTTCTCTAAGCGTTCTCTCAGTGTTCTCAATGATTAGTTCATAAAAAAATTCCTAGAAACATTATAATTTGTTTTTTTTCACCATTATGTACAACTTATAATGAACCTCTTGTTAAATTTACATGCATTTCTGTTGGGACAGACAATATTATACCCGCATAATACCTAAAAACTAAGGAATAATTAAAACACAACCGTCTTATTCACCGACTAGATCAACAATATATCTATTTGCAATAAAACCTTGTAGGACAATACAAACAACTAAACTGGATATTAATACCGGTAGAAAATTAACTAAATTACTAAAAAAAAAAAAAATACTAATTAGTCATAATTGCTCAAAACTATAATACATTTAATTATAAAAAAAAACAATGTACACAGACAAAGTCGTGCGAGACAACTAGTTAAAATTATACATATTATAAAACTAACGAAAAAAAACACACAAACACGCGCATTATTAACTGAATAATGATTATTAATTAGTAGACGGTAGTCTTATACTACTAATGTTATTGTTTTCATGTATTGAATATTAAGTAGGTGTTTCGATTTGCTCGTATTGTCGTTGTATCCAATAGTAAAATCGAACAATCGAAGAAATAATTAATTTCACGTGATTGCACGCTATACAAAATATTATCAGTGAAATTGTAAATCGCGTAACGTTTTTTCTAAAATGGCGACCTGTAAATGTAAATAATGTAAGCAGTAATTGTAATCGATAAAAAAAAAAAACGATAAAAACGATTTGGAAAACAGTTTGCACGTATTCTTGACGTTTGCCCGAAAAAAATATTATGTTTGTTCGTTATTTAAGACTTCGGTTTGACACACTAGTATATCAATTAAGGGTATTCATTGAAAACGTAAAAAAATACGTACGTGTTCACGCGTATCAGTGTTATTCGCGTGTCTGCGTGAATACTTCAAAATACGTGAATATAGGTACGTGTAAATATAAATAATTATACGTGCACAGTGCATACTGATTTTTTGAGTACCGATTCACAGTTTTATTGATTCGAATGATAATTTCACGTGAACATGTGAAAATGTTTTTTCACCCGAATTGGAACGTTGGCGCTCTAATATAAATCCGATGTAACATGTACCGTATTGCCGTGAGGTATTTGAAAACGGCATTTTGACGCTTTAGAAATAAAACCTGCTATTTTAGATTCTAAGTGTGTTGAAGAAGCTGTTAGTTTTGCCATCGATTAAATTAACAGTTTTACTACGATGTGTGTGTATTTTTTTTTTTTTTCCAAAAATGCTTCGATTTTTCCTTGTCGTTGTCATACTTTAAAAGATGCGGACTTTTATACTGGTGGTATTTAATTTTAACCTTTTTTTTAAATTCTCATTAATTCTTCGAAAACAATTTTCGGTGTTATAAAAATGCTCCACATTCTTCGAATTGTGAGATTCCACTCATATGCCACTTGTAGTAATCTCTTGATTGCAATGCTTTGCCGTTGTCTTCGGTAAATAAATCGAATCACCCAAAATCCTATACCTTTAAAACTTTTCACCTAAAACAGTGGCTAGCACATGGTTGTAGATCACTATACAAAGGTCCTAGAAATCGGTAGTTTATATACATAAATAAGTTAATAATTTGAAACGGGTTACTTTTTTACAAAAGCTAAGAGCCTAGTATTTAGCAAAAAGATTACAATTCCCTGAAATATTTAACGACGGTTATAATAAAATAACTTACCAAGTATATCCCGTTGAGGAAACCATTTTCTGACCATTACATTGTTTGGTATATCCCTCAATTTAACTTCGTATTTCAACAACACTCGCTGTGGGAGTTGAGCCAACGCTTCCAAAAAAGCAGTTCTTATATGATCGGGCGTTGAAGCCATTAAAACAGTCGAACCGAATGTGAACAAAACGACTCCGTGTGGCGAATCCTCTATAAATTCCAGTATATCCTGTATACAGAATATACGCTCATTCAATTTAATAGTTATCAATTAATATTAACGCAATATATTTTGTTCATTGTTGATAAATATAAATCAACACAAATACAAATTATTCAGTATATTTATTTCACAGTCAATGATTATTTTAAAATATTAAATCGTTCGTAAATTCTTGGTCGTTTTTCATGTATTTTAATCGTAATGTACTTAAATTAAATTACTTAAAGTCCCTTATGATTACACGAACATTTATTTTAAATAATAATAATAAAGATTAAACGCTATATTTGTGTCTCAACTAATATCGCATCAGATAAATTATTACAAACGAAAGACGATCCTGAAAGGCTTAATATTAGGAATTGTGTTTTTTCTCCCTGGTTTATTTATTTCGTTTATAAGAACTAAGAATATTTATGTGAAGTACCGGAGGTTGCATATTTTATACTTTTCAAGTTTTATTTATCTCTTATGACAAACTTGATTAAACTCAGATTTAATCGTTTGTTTAAAGGATTCACGTGTATTTATTTGTTTGCATGTAGCGATGTAGGTTTTCGTGAACAACATGGATTTTTAAATACGTTCGATTCTGTGTACAACGTGTAATGAACCTGATTTGTACTAGCCGAAAATGTGTTTTTTTTTTTTTTTTTTGTGAAAAAGACACACTAACAACTCAGTAAAACCGGCAGGTTCACTCAGAATCTAAAATAATATTCTAAATTCTAAAAATAATAACATAATAACATTATAGTTGTACTTTCGGTATTTTCTCGGGCGGTTTTAAATGTATGCCGCCCACGGAGACGACGTTCGCCGGAATCGGCCTCGCCGCGTCGCTAACGTAATGACCGTTGGTAAACAAAATTGACGGCTGGTCAGGGACGTACTCGTCGTACGGTCGGCGGTCGGTGGCAAACTTGACGGCCACGCGGCGTAGCGCGTGTTGTAATGTGACGTACGCTTCAATATACACGGAGAGCAAAGTGTTGGAAAACCGCTGCGCAAACGTTTTCGGGACGGCGTGACGGCTGAATATCGAGGAAACGGTCGCCGGGTTCGACACGTCCCTGACCGCCCCGTTGTCCGTGAGAAATGCCTTCGCCATCGGCACCGTGTATATGACCGGCAGATTCGAGCCGGCCGCCGCGTACGTGAGGCAGGGCGCCGGACCTGGTTCGATGACGATCGCGTCGAAATTGGCGTCCAGACCGCCAGCCAAAATGCCGATCACCCGGCTATCGTTGTAAATCATATCGCAGAAAACCGACATGATCTCTGTCGCCTTGGAGACCAACGACCGCGCGTCGCCAAAATCCTGTATCACACTCGTCAGATCCATGCCGATCTTTACCGGCAGCACGTCGGACATGTCCACTTCCGTGTAGTTTTCCTCGTTCCCTTTCGGAAACGGCGTGAAGACAGTGACGTTGTGCCCGCCGCCCGTCAGCGACCGGAGCACAGCGCTCATAAAGTTCCAATGGCTTTTGGCCGCGATCGTTTCTATGGCCAATATTCTCGCGTTTTCCGCCGGCAAAACGAACGTGACGGCCAACGCAAACACCGCCACCGCCGCCGTCCGAACGCGCGACTGAACATTTCGGACAAGCATTGATTTTGATATCGGCCGGATGTACGTACAGGGAATCAAACTCGCCGAACTAATGAGAGGCCGAACTCATACTGTCGACAATTGTGTAGCCAGTTCGGTGTGTAACGACTGCGGTTGGCCGTTTATCGTCGTAGTAGGAGAAACTCAGCAAAAGCCCCCCGTTCAACTGTAGTCTTCTCGGTCATCTAATTTTAATCGAAAAACAGCTGTTCAAGTG